CCTCGTGCTGCAGTTTTGTCACTATAGAAGGACTGGCCACAGTAGTTATCATCCTTACTTGTTTCTAAACAAATACTGTGTATTTTTCAGTGTTGAGCTGTGAAACCTCAGGCAGAATTTTAACTGGTAACCACACATAGTCAAGTCTTGCTTTTTGAACCTCCCCCCATTTTGGAGTAGAAGCTCTACTGCTGGAGGCGATGACAAATCGAAGGGCAGAGGCACCAGAACGAATGCATATCTGTCACTGAAGGACACAAGTTTCCTTGAAAATGTTTGCATCCCAAGTGTCTGGACAGTAAAAGTAGTTGCTGGGATTTCCTATCCCTGGAGAGTCATTGCAAAGTGGTACTCAGGGAAAACACTTGTTTTACAGACCTCTAAATGGTAATATTTTTCAAGATACAATCCACTCAAAAAACCTTCCAGCCAAATCAGGAGATCCTTGGTAGGCTGCCATCCGGAGGAACTGTGTGTTGGTAGTGCAGTTTCTCATACCAAAATTATGTAAAGGAGCACATAACTTTTAACAGAAAACTTCATGTGCTGATTGTTACATTAGCTGATTGTTACATTAGCCCACTTATAAACCAGGGCACGTTATCTGCGCCTCGCTCTGGGTAACGTCAATGCAGCACCTTTCTGAAATTTCTGAAGAAATTTCCAGTGCTACATAATTGGCACCATTGGGAATCAAAGGAGAAAGCAACAGGCAGCAAATGATCCTTCAGAGCTGCTCTGATGGTGCACAAGCTGGCATGGGGCTTGGTAGACAGCCGTCCAGTTAAGTGGTGAAGTGATGTGAGACAGAGGCGAGGAAATGTTGCTGGAGGGAAATCACAACCAACAGCTTGACCACAGAGTAAAACAAGAGTAGCATTTGTAACCGGTCAGTAGCAAGGGTAGAGGATGGGAAGGCAGAGAAGAGGACAGAAGAAAGGGATGTCTCATCTCCTACAGTCCTCATCTCCTGACTGTTTGCAAGCAATTATGCAAACCTTTTAGCAGGGCCTGTTGTAATAGGACAAGGAGTAATGGTTTTAAACTAAGAGAGGGTAGATTTGGATTAGATATAAGGAAGACGTTTTTTACAATGAGGGTGGTAAAACACCAGAAGCGGTTGCCCAGTAAGGTGGGGGATGCCCCATCCCTGGAAATGTTCCAGGCCACATTGGATGAAGCTATGAGCAACCTGATCTAGTTGAAAATGTTCCTGCTCACTGCAGGGGTGTTGGGCTAGATGATCTTTACAGTCCCTTCCAGCCCAAACCACTCTGTAATTCTATGATAAATGGAGATGTAACTGGAACACTTGCTTCCCTGCCTTGATAGTGTTCTCATTGCTACGAAGCAGCAGGCTGCTAACTCAGGGTAAACAGAGGCTTTTTGTGGTGAGACAGAAAGAAAGAGTCTGTGGGTCTATTACAGACTTTACCAGGGTAATTTGAAGACAGGCAGATTAAGACTTTGATCTGTTTCTTTTCATTTTTTAATCCATTTGTAAAATCCATATAAATAGAGCTGTGAAAATGGAACGTGGTTTGGTTTTGCTATGAGCAAATTTTGCTTCAACTGTGCGTCTGTCTCCTAAATGTTATCACTGTCGAAGGACAGGTGTCCTCAAGAAAAAAATATCAGGCAGTGCCACTTTCACAAATGATGCTCATCTTCATTCGTGCTCCAGTTTTTTCTCATCGCTTTTTTTCATAGTACAATATTTCACATAGATTTTTAACGTAAATGTTAAACAGTACTCTGGTACTTCATCGGGAGTTTCTGTACTTGTTTACTTTTAATTAACAACTTTATTCAAAGTCAGCAAGACTTCTCACACATGCCAAAGTTAAGCCCATGCTCAGCATAACTGGCGGATGCATGAGAGGGAGCTGACTTGTTGGGCTGCAGCGTTTGGGACCCGAGCCTTGCCTTTGGAGGGTGTTTTGCTTTGGAAAGTCACTAATTTCCAACCCCCTCTGGTGCTAAGGCTTTAAGAGGTAGAGAAAAGGACGTGCACTTGTTTGAGCTGCATACAAGCCACTAGCCAGGTTTTACTGGGGCCTACCAGGCCTATCTGGGTGTCTTCTGCTGACCTTGTTACGGCCATCAGGACACACTTACCAAATGGAGTCGTTGCTGGGCAGTCACATTAACGAACGGCCAGCATTAATTTGCCCTTTGAAAATGAAGAAATCAATATGTTGATCCAGTTGGAAATCCCTTTATTCACAAAACAGTCTATCCCAAACCCCTCCACATAATTAAGGCTAAAGCCAAATTTTGTTTGGGTGAAACATGCAATCTGTCTGCTCCCTAAGCTGTGCTGAATGAAGTTCTCCCCTAATGGCACAGGGAGCAGCTGTCACACTGTTGCTCTAATAACCATGAGCCAAAATGATTAAATTTCCATCAATCATTTAGCATTATCAGAATAGGCCATTTTAATAAAATGTTGTCATGGGATCAGTGCCGGGCACCTTAGAAAGGAGACAGTCTTTGAGTGATCCTCCTTGCAGGAGATGCCGGTCCAGATTAAACCAGCAGTTCCACTCCATTTTTCATGGGGGTGCCTGATAGCAGGATCTTTTGAGAGCAAAGACATTCCTCCAATCAACTCAATGGCTTTTAGGTTTCAGCCATTGTCCCATTGTTCTTGCACTGTATAAAAAAATCATCAATCGTTCATTTTGGGGAAAATCCTTAACAGGTAGTAAGTGGTGTGAGGTGCTAAGCCCTGTTTTCAGAAGCCATTTCAGAGCCAGAAGTCACATGGCAGCATGTCTACCAATTGGGCTTTCTGAAGATGTGACAGGATTTCATGGGAACGTTTAAATGACCATGCTTTCTGAAAGCCTACTTGATGCCTTCCTATATCTTTAAGCCACCTTTAAAACTCTGTTTCCTTGGTCCCCTTGGTTGAAATGTTCATCTGTTTTCAGTGTTTTACCTATTTACCATGTCCCTTCATAGTCATCTCCATTCTGGATCCAAGGTATCTCTGTAGTGTCTCTCCCTCTGCAGGGAAGTTTCATGGCTACAGAATAAGATGGACCCTAACCCAGTTTTTAAAGCCAGGTGGACCCTGTCTGTTGATGGTGTACCATGTGAGCAGGAAGATGGAGAACTCCAAAGTCCACACTGAAATTCGTGGCTTCTCACTGCTTCTTTTGAGCAGCTTCCTTCACCTCTCCTGCAAGGCTGGCTGTCGATGTGAAACACTGACAGAAGATTTATCCAGCCTTTTGGTGATGCTGAGAAAGGGTGATCATGAAAAATGGAGAAAAGCTGGAGGATCCTTTCATATTTCACCTGCAAATACGCTTAACAAATAGACAATGCACTGGGTTTCTGTAAATTAGATTTGGCCACCATTCTTCTTTGGAGAGAGGGTTTTTTCTTCTCTTTTTTGGAGCAGCTAAACCAGCAATAAAACTCTCAAACCTTGGCAAAGGAGAAGCATTTTGAGGCAGGGTCACAGTGCAACTTATTCCTTGCTATATGTTTGAAGCTTCTGGGTGCCAACAAATCTAAATTTCTCGTCAGTGTAAGCTGTTGTCGGGTTTGTATGTGTGCTTGGTTGCCTTTTTTGTTGTGCTTTTTTCCTATATGCAGTAGTCTCACTGTCTTCTTTTTCTTTTTCCTCTCCAGGCCCTCAAACTGACACGAGATGTAGAGAGAGAACCCTTTGCCAAATCTGCTGTCAGCAAGTGGACAGTGATACTGTTTACAGCTTACAACCTTTGTGAACCCTGCATTATTTTCCTAATGAAGCAGACTGTTAATAGGCCCCTTTCTGGAGTGAAGATCCTACTTTTTTTTTTACTTTTTTTTTTTTCTTCCCCTCCTCTTTTTGTTGGAAATTGAACTCATTCTGAAGTATGCAAAATCTTCCTTTTCTGGGATGGCCAAGCACCTGCTGTGGAGACAATGTTCAGCACCATCCTGTTGAGAACACACTGTGTAGCCTTTTACAGTAGTTACTTGTCAATGAGTATGTGGTGTTTCAATATATTAATGGTTTATGGGATGTTTTAAGTTGGTTTTCTTTTTGGAGGTTTTCCCCATCTGCCCAGCCTCCCCCCTACAACCTCCAGTTTGATTTCCTTAGATTTTTGACCATTTTTGCTTTCTCGCCCTGGGGAATTTGAAGTACTGTGCACACGCAAGGAAATGATCATAACCCAGCACTGCTCAGGTGCCAGGGTTTTCTGAATATAGAGCATATGTTAGACCGATCAACTGGCTGAATTCCAGAGAGAGGGGATGCGCGTGCCCTGTTCGCTTGTTGGGTTGGTTTGTTTGTTTCTTTTTTATTCTTTCCTTAAATTTAATGGTACACCCCTGCCTTCCGAAAGTGTCAAACCAGAGCTGATTGCAAAACAAGGGAAGATAGTGGGTTTGCCTCTTGGCTCATGGGGACAGTCTGACAGCGGGTGCCGTTGCCCTCACGTGCACCAAGGCAGGAGCCTGTGTTCTGCTCATTGGAGCAGGCTCCCCTCCTGCCTTATGTTGGTAAGGCTGCCCCTACTGCCACAGTGAGCTGGTGAGGAGTTGTGGGCTGAGCTGCCAGACAAGGTGAACATAGCCACCTGTAGAGATGCATTTGAAAAAGCAAAAAGTAAGGGAAATGTAGCAGCTGGGCATCGGCAGGTGACTTGCAGTGACAATGAAGGGAGCTGAGGCACAGGTCACTGCAGTATGCGTTACTACATCAGTGATCCTTTTTTGTTGGTGGTGTTGTTGTTGTTTTAGACATATCCTTGATTATTTTTTCCTTCTCATTATGTATAATCCATTGTGGCAGAAGAAGCAGGAGTGGGAATGGCAAGGTGACAGTATCATACAAATGGCTTTTTCACATGAGCACAGATTGTATCAAGATAAATGACACTGAAAGACAAGGCAGTTTTATATATTTTGCTTCTAAGATTTTCTTTTATAAAATGAATAATAATTAATAATAATAATGAATAAAAGGTATGGTGCTGTATAGATCCTCTCTATAATCTGGAAATTTGATTACTTTTTATTAGTATCTTGGGGGGAAAGGGATACAAAGAAAAGAGGTACATAGGAACTCAATATGAAGAGGTTCTGAACAGGACAGTGTTCATAATTCTCCAAAGTGATATATGAAGTTTTTTTTCTTTGCATAAAAGCATTATGCATATAAATATATAAATATATTTTATTATGTACAGAAATGGATCATTATGCATGGATGTTAGGAAAACAAACTAGCATTTTAACCCAAAGTCTCAGTGCATGAGTTCCCACCGACACGTGTCCCATGCAATGTGGAGTGACTCCCTCTCGCCACTGCCACCACACATGCACAACCATGCAGACATGCGCGCATTTGTGGGCCCTTCCTCACTCCTTACTTTCCAGGTCCCTGAGGTGATACAGGTGAAACAACAGCTCCTAGTGTGATGGAAGTTTTGTTTTTGTACCGTAGCCTCCACGCTGTTCTCTCACAAAGATGCACCTCTTGGTTTCTCCCCCCAGTTATGACTGTGTAGGCTCTGTGCAGTTGTGGTTAGCATAGCCCTGTAGCATATCAACTCTTCCAAGCAGCCAAGGGTTTATCATTTGCCTTTTAAAAAAACTTCTTTTTACACTGAGGTGGTCTGTTTGTCAGCGTGTGGCTTAGTTTATAGCGTTCATTGGAGTTGGCTGGTGCTCATTGCCCATCTCTATCAGAAGCCAGCCTCCCAGGATGCTTGTGTGGCACACCTGGGCACCTTGCTTATTGGAGTCCAGTTGCAAGCACCTTTTACTGAAATTGGGCTAGGGTTTGTCACTGGCCTCCTCTGAGCATGTACCATTAGCTCTCAGCTTCCCAGTACACCCCAAAATGTGGGTGTATGCTGAAGGACTCCCCTCTAGTGCTTCTTTCCCTGAGGCTTCTTTGCAGCTGCCACCTTGCGGCTGGACTTGTGCCCTGGCCCCGTGGTTTTGGCCGCCAGCAGAGTTCACTCTGTGGCTCCCCATGCTGGGGTGCAGCATTTGATCCCTGCATGATCCCTCTCCAGTAAGACCCGAGGAGCCTACCCAAAGACCCACCAGCCAGGTCACTGACAGATCCGGTAAGGCCTGACTTGATGGTATGGCCAAGGTGACCAAAACTCATAATTTTTTTTTGTCTTGGTACAGATTAAGTTCTTGTCAAAGGCAAGGGAAGGCCTGTTAGCTTAAACAAAGTGGGGGCAACTTCTGCTCTGTTCTGGCAGCCTAGCCTGCTTGAGTTCAAATGAGCTGGCTCCTGCTGTCAGAAATGAGAGAGAAAACTATGGCCTGCTCTGTTCAGAAAATGGAGAAATAACACCTGATTTAGAGACAGCCCAGCAATGGCAGAGAAGTTTTTTTAAAAAAGTAACAAAACATTAGCAGCTGAAAGGCTTAACCTGCCTCCCAGCAGTGTCAAGGAGAGCATTTCCATTGGTGTGGCTGGAACACCTTGAGCCCCTGCTTTGGAGAACATCCCAGCACTTGCTGAAGAGGGTTGGACTTGGCCTTGGTTTGGTTTCTGTTGCTCATTTTTGGGGCCAAAATTTTCGAGTGAAAGTGCCTGGTGTCAGGCACTGAACACTGGGGACTCCAGTGTGGTCACAGAGGTTGAGCTGCTCTGCCCTCATCACTTCTTGAAGGAAGGGGAAGTGACAGGTCCCCCCAGGCCCAGGGGAAAGTCATCCTCCTCTACACCTGCTGAGGTGCCCAGCAAAGGTCCTTCACTCCAGAGGTGCTAAATAAATCTCACTGAATTCAAAGGGCCACTTACTTACGTGTCAAAATACAGACTTGAATAGCTAATTTTGGGAACCTAAAAATTTGGCCTTTGAGTCTTTGAACATGTTTATGCCTAGAAGTTTTCATTGTGAAATCATGTAAAACAGATAAAAGTCATGGTCACAATTACGTGGTTATCATTTGAACACTTGGTCTAAACAAAAGGTCTAAAAAGCTGTTATTTATGCAGTTTCTAGTCACAGATTGGGGCTTGATTTAATGATTTTGTAAAAAAAATTTCTCTTGAGAATAATGGGATCGTTAAACACTGTTTAACTCTAGAAATTGTTGTGCCACCGCTTAAAAAAGTTACCTTTTAGGTTATGTATTTCTCTAAAATTATGTCATTGCTTGGCAATCGGTGTCCTGTAAGTGTTTCTAGTACGCTTCTAGAATTGCCAACAGATGCACAGGGGGACCAGATACATTTCGTTACTATGGGTTGGAAAAAATGGATTGTACATTTGGCTTCACATGTTAAACTTTTTTTTTAAAAAGTTGCATGATTGGAAAAAATATGTATACAGTATCTGTAAAACTGTTTTATCTGTTTCTGTTTCAAGCCATGTAAATTGGAAGAATATTAAATCCACAGCCTTATTGCGCATGGCCGTCTTTACATACCGAAGAGCTGAACAGTTTATACTTTTCATTTGGGCTATCTTGTACTTTCATTTGAAAGCAGACACTCTCACGTTGCAGTCTTACTGAGGATTTTTTATTTAAAAAAGAAAAAAAAAAGAAAAAAGATGCTGCCCTGGAGGAATATATTACCTTACTACTCAGAGGTTGAAAGGAAGTTTGTTTTGGAGCAAAACCTGCCCCTTTCCAAATGAAGTAGAGACGCAGTGCTTACTCCACTTGGTGTTAGTAGATATTGCCTTGTGTATTCCATTTTAAATTGTAATCTAGTTTGTAAAAGAGATGGTGACGCATGTAAATAAAGCATAATGGATCTCTACATTGCACATTTGCCTTCCCTCTGTTTTATTGTGTCATGGACAGACGTGTAAACACGGGACCTGGAGAAGGGGTGATTTCCAAGCAGCAGGTGAGAACAGGTGGGGGGGGGTCTGGAGCTGGGGAGGGGTCTCGATCCTGCATCCGTTAGTATCTGTAAATCCATATTGACGTGGGCCTCTGTACTTCAACCCTTCAGCCAAGCTAGCATAGTTTTGGTGGTCAAATCACCCCCAGTGGGATCATTTACTGCTGCTAAAAAAATCACAAAGTTCACTTGATTTTGGGAATGGGGGGGTTGTCCCCTGGGGTGGCAGCTGCACCCTGCAGCTTGCAGACGAGTTCGCCTGACCTGGGAGACAATCAGACCAACTGCAGACCTGTCAGAGAAGAGTTACACACCCACCTCTACCCCTCCCTCCCCCACTGTGGGCTTGGCTAGGTTTCAAGCTGTCTTTGAAAAATGCTTGGAGTACTTAAAACCACCCGTTAGGGATTTGGGATAAGAAAACCAACAGCCTGAGTCGGCAAAAAGCTATACTGAAGGCTCTGGCCAAGACACTAGGGAGCACGCTCAGAAACATGAGACGTGGGCAAAAAATCTCTTCTCCCACCCTGATGAGAAGTCCCAGATGTATATGGGTTTTTGGAGTTGTTTTGCAGGAGCAAATTATATTTTCAAGAAAGAGCAGCCTTTCCTTATGGGAGGGAAGAGTTTCAAATGACTGCAGGGGGACAGCCTCCATGTTGTCCGTGCAGAGCCCACAGGAATGCTGTGCTGAAGTCATGGCTAGGCTTCGCGAACAGCAATAAAGAGCAGCTTGGGGATATCCCTTGTTTAACAAAGCAAGAGCTATTCAGGTTTTGTCCTAACTAGAGATAGCCTGAAATATTACAAGATCCAGTCAGAGACTACTCTTTGACCAGGATGAAGTGTGTGTTAGCCTTCCCAGAGTGAGAGCGCACTTGTCCTGCAGCAACCACTCAGAAATTGAGCTGTTTTGCTTGGCTTTTTTTCTGAAGACTTCTCCAACAAGGCTCTGTCAGGAAAGGACCCATGTCCTCTGCCTCTTTGGCATTGCCCCACTGGTATTTGGCATAAAAGATGAGAACGTTTGGCCCAGTGAGGTGCCAGGTCAAGCTCTGACCTGAATTTAGGCAGGGGCAGCAGCAGCAGCAATGATGAGCTGATCAAATTCTTTGTGAGTTTTGTGCTGAACCTACTTTGTTGTGTTGTGCAATGCCTTAGCTGTGACCTTCAGTTCACCTGGCCTTGGAATAGATCATTCTTATCTTTCAGAGTACTCTCAAAATAAGTCCAAACATTTTAAAACTTGTCCAAGTTGTCCCAGAAGACAAAAGATTTTTCAAGTTGCTTCTGAGGCTGGTGAGGCAACTGAGAGCTATTTTAGGAGCTCCTCACCACATATGCTGAGTTGCGAGTTCAACCAGCCCAGGGAAAACAGTATTTTACAGCTCTTGTTTGGCTACTGCTGCCAAGGAAGTTAGGGGTGCTTTCAAGAAGTTTTAGATAAGCAAATCTGAGACGCTACCTCTTTTACTGGTGGAGTCACCCTGACTGGAATCTCCCTGTTCAAAAGGAAGTCTTCTCGGATGATGTGGAGCCCAAGCCAGATGGAGTAGATACTGCTCTTGCTGGTGCACAGATTCATCCCACTGCCAGCAGCTTCTGCATTGTGTCATGGCATCTCTGTTTGCCCAACTCAGCCCACAGAGCTTTTTTTCCCACTGGCTCTGCCTGTGAAATTTTTAAAAACGAAAATATATTTATCATGTAAACACAAAACATAGAAAATTCCATTAGAACAAAAAAAAAATTAAGCTTTTTTTTTTCTTAACTGCTATTTAAATCTTTAAGAAATTTTGGAATTATCTGACAAAATTCAGTCTTCAGTTTGGAATTTTTACTTTTGCACCTGGATTTTCTTTTCATACTCATAACATGAGCAGTTTTGCATATGCCAAAACATTTACTTATTAGAACAAAGCGTTTCCTGCTTTTATTGTTTGATGGTTTGATGACATACCAAGGAGCAATTTAATCTAGAAAATGAGATAATATGTCCCAATTCAGTAGAGCAATTGGCCTCAATGAGGGTAAATGTTGTAACATTCTTTTAATTTTACATTATACCATGCAAGTTTAATGTCTATATGCTGTGAATGATATCTGGTGAAATGGGGGGAAAACAGTAAAAATAAATGTGTGCTGGTTTAAAGGTAAACCAGCAGGGGAAATGAACTCAACTCAAAAGAGAGATTATAAATCAGAATAACAATTTAATAAAATAATACAATAAGTACGATTATACAGACAAACAATTGGTTTTAACCCACAAAACCCAAATGTATAACCCAGCACCCTGGGGAATGAACAGAGTGGTGTTCATTGGGCACCCTGAGTCCAAAGTAAAAGGAGAGGGGAAAACTTGTTGGTGAGAGTGCTGTTGCAGTCTGGTCCAGAGTGGTGATTGCCGTCTGGTTGAAAAGTGGTGGTTGCAGTCCAGTCAAAAGTGGTGGTCTGCAGTCTGGTTGAGAGTAGTGGTTTGCAGTTTGGTTGAGAGCGGTGGTCTGCAGTCTTCCTCTGGATCCCACGAGTGGTTAAAAAAATTCCAAGACTCCAAGATTATATATTCTGCAGTTCAGGCAGGAATGCTTGGTACTTCCCTCAGGACGGGGAGTTCCACAAAGGGTGTGAGGGCAAGGGAGGCACCCTCCTATCTCTAAGGCCTCTTAACACCCAGTTTGTAGCCTGAGGAGTCAGGCTGCTCTGGGCAGAGGGTGTAAATGGTCTATTGATACCAGTTTCTGGGAAATGGCATGGAAGGCTATAGAATACACAGTTTTGGGTTACACCCATACAGTGATGAACTAGTCCCAGCTGTTCTAACTAGGACAAAATGATATCTCATAAAAAGTATTTCCAACTTCTGAGACAAATATAATCCTGATCAGGATTCCCTTCCCTCAATTTTCACTCTTTTTGAGGTGATACCTTAAAACTTTGGTTTTCCTGAAATTCAAAGCACAAAGCAGTTCCCAAGTTGTTGCCTTTCTCTGGAGATTAGCCTTGCAGCGGTGCTTATCATCTGTGCATGCTGCCCTGCAATGGGCATTGAGGCTGCTGATAGCACCTGTGGAGCCTGACCCCATGTGAATATCAGGCTTTGGCTCTATTTCATGCTCTGGAGGCCTCTGTAGGCCCTGAAAGATCCCATAGCTGGTCCAGCAATGTCCAAGGTGAGAGAACGGGGAGGACATCAGTGGGAACAAAGCATAGCAGATGCCAGCACCCTGCTCTGTTATGTGATAACCTCTCTGAAGCTTCATTTGCTACACGGACAATGGTCCTTCTTCTGTTTGTAACCACATCGGAAAAGGATGACGTTGGTTAGAAAGTGCTAATCAAGAAATACAGGTATACACTACCTCTGCCCTCCAAAGCAAGAGATGGAGAAAAACTGTGCATTGGCACAGCCACCTCAGAGGTCCTCGCTGGGGAGCAGGAGGGAAAGGTTCAGCCTTTCCAAGCCTCTGCTGTGAATAACTGGCCTGGTATCTGTCTTGCATTTGTTGTTTCAGTAGAAAACTCATACTTCACTAACCCTTTACCTTAAATCTCTATGGCCTCCTCTTACTTAAGGCTGTCCAGGTTTGTACACCATTAACTAGTTCATGGGTGAATGTTGTGGAAAAAAGTCACTACTTAGAAAGCAATTCATAAAAGACATACAGTAATAGGAATTTTTTTAAAAGTAGTCCTTTTACTCATTAAATGAAATCCAATGACATTCTCACTTCTCTTGAGAGTCATACTTGCGATATCAAACTCTGTTACCAACCTCAGCGTGCATCTCTTAGGCAAAATTTATGGCGAGTCTGTCTCATTTATACAGAAGTTTTGCTATGCACTGTCACTCAGCCTAGCAGACTCCCATGGAAAAGCTACAGTTTAAGTAATAATTCTACTGTGCCTGAGCAGTGATAAAATTATAGTGGCTTTCAGAGCTGAGAGATATCAAAATCTCTTCCTGGAGAAGGCAGCTACCTTTGCATATCTGCTCTGAAGCTTCTGCGTCCAGAGAACATAGCAGAGGGGAAGGTCAGGCACGGATATACAGGGGGTCTTAACTTTGCAGCCGAGTTGTGTTTGCTCTGAAGTCCGGGTGAGGTGGGTTGCAGTGTTATCCCCAAAGGGTCAGTGCTGACCACCTTACCACAGAGCAGAAGGGGTTATGTGGGAAGTTACCCTGGAGTAACACAAATGCAAAGCCTCGCTTCCCTTTTCCTCACCCATAACTAGCACTTCAAGGTGAGCCCATTTCACTCTGTTTTTCACTAAAGGACTTCTAGGTGACAAGTTGTCTGCAGAAAGTGTCCTGAATTGCTGAATCTTCGGGGACATGGCTGAGATTCTACTGCTACATTTCCAGCCTCTTAAATCTCCTGCCTGAATATCTTTGCTTTTTCACAATCACCTCACTTTCCCTTGCCAAAGCTTTGTTCTCTTATTAAGAAAGGGCCTTAGAGATGATGACATGATGTTGCTGTTAGCAGGAGCCTCTCGTGGTTTGGTTTTCCTGCACAAACTCATGTGTGAGGAGCAGGGGGGTGGCCAGCTCCCACCTTACCTATCTTATGGACCATGCATCTGAGCGGACATCTCTGTCTGTGCACAGAAAATGTCAAGAGATAAGAGCACACAGGAATGGAAAATAAAGCAGCATGTGAAAAGGGCTTAATAAATGACTCTACCATGGGGGCACCTAAACCACTCCTTCATTCCCTTCAGTCATTCTTCCATTCATATCTAAAGTCACCAGTGTTTTCCATTGCTGTCAGCAATGATCTTTCTATCTTTTGATCCCTATGAATCTTTCTTTGGAATGAAATCTTTTTTTTCTTCTTTTTTTTTTTTTTCCTTTTCCCATTCTCTGATTTTTTTTACATTCCCTGTTTTTCTAAGGCCAGTTATTAAAATGTTTGTGGGGTCAATTATGTAAGTTGTGGATACGATTATTTTTTATAATGCTTTTGTTTAAGCAAGAAGCCCAGGTAACACAGTTACTTGGTAAGAGCTCATTGCCATTACAAGTCACACCACTCCAGCTACATCAGCAAGAAACACATTTGAGTCTGAAGACGCAGTTTGCTGCTCTAGCTGCATCAGCCACCTTTTCCTAACACAGGCTAAACCCTGAACATAGTTTCATGCAGAATAGTAGTAAGTTTGCAGCCAATGTGGTTTGGTGGCTGTATTCAAAGGTCTGCTAAGATCAGGAGATGCAAAGCTAAAAGTACAAATGGTTTGTGGACTTCTTACCACGTATGGTGGCTCAAAGGGACACGAGCATGCCACTTCAGAGTAAACTGCTACAGCCATAGGAATGGGGAAAAAATGAATGCCTTGCTCTTTTTAAAAGTGTCTCTCTTTGTTCATGCTCTGCCAAGTCTTTCTGTGAGAAATGGATGTTGTGAGGTAGCTTTGTACAGCCCAGGTGCAGCCTAGAACAACCAGCCACAGAGTTGACTGTGGTGTCTGCCCTCTGGCAGTGCTGGCACTCGTGACCTGCAGTACTTCCCTGGGCTGTAATCTGCAAAATAAAATTGAAAAACTCTGATTCTCTCTATTTCAGTGAGTCAAGAATCTGCAAAATTTTCCTCTTGAAGGTTAATGGAATTTGAACATTTCTTGCTGATCACCTCATCCATAAGGTAACAAAAGGCTTATCTGTTTCTTTTCCACTGTAATTGACAGTCCTCTGTAGGCACATGTTCAGCATTTCAAGACTAACTTAAAGGTCAAGTTTACCATATGGGCAGATTGGATGAGCTCATGGTTGAGGAAAGACCATCTAAAGGTGACTTGTCTAACATAGCTGTACAGACACACACACATACACACACAAAGCCCCCACACATTTCTTTTTGGTCTAACCTTGTCTCAGCCGCGACCCATGTTCCAAGAGTCTCAGGATGAAGCTGTACTAGAAATGTCAGAAGTGGATTGAATTTGGCACCTGAAATATAATAATAAGGGTCTGACAAAAGAAATATTTTAAGAAACAGAGCAGATTTTCATTGTTCTGACCCCTTTTACCTGAAATCTGAAGTACACCAAACTGAAGTACCTTGTTTGTGTTTAAGCAGTTAACTCCCAAATTTTTTATCCAGACATGGGGCTGTGCTACACCAGAGAAAGTGTACAGACCCCTACACCTCTCTGCACATGTCCATGTTCAGCACAGGTGCTGCAACAGCCAGTAACAGCACCTGAAACAAACCCTGGGAATCCTTATACCCCACACATGGGATGGTCATCCGCAAACAATGGCCTGTAACAACACCTGGGCATGTGCTAAGTCTTGCTCAGAGCACAGCTACCAGTGAAAGTACTGCACCTGCTCAGCTTCTTCACACAAAATTGATGTACAGAACTCAAAGTACTATAAAACTGCAGGCACAGGTGAAAGTATGAAATGAGTAGGAGAGGTGCATAACTTTCCCCAATTAAAATTTGTGTCTTCAGCAGCATCCCCTGCACCCTATTTGGTAGGCCATTATGGGATGCAGATTCTCCTGTTGGGAAATGATTATCAGCTGAAAGTCCTTTTCCCCCAGGAATTTGTCCTCTATGTTCCACAGACTTTTTTTGGCCAATTGTCAGTTTTCAGCCCATCCTCCTTTCACCTGGCAGAAAAACCACAGGTGTTTGGCCACAGAGGAGGAATTTGGAGGCAGCGGACTGGTTTTTCACCAAGATACTTCAACAACTATCAGCTTTCTTGTGTGTGTTTCCAAAAGTAGAACTTACATGCTATCTCCTCTCCTAACTGTCCTGTTCTCCTCCTGTGAGCCTAATCTCGTGCCACACTTGTCCCCCTGGTCCCACTGTCACCTGCCCCACCCAGCTTGGCTGGATGCCCATGGCCACAGGGCCTTGGAAACCCGAAAGTTGGCAGCAGCCTCTGCTGGTGTGTCAGCCAGCCCAGCAGCCGGAGGACATGTGCCCCACACCCAAAGCAAGGCCCTCGTGCAGAATGAGGAGTGCCACCATGTGCCAACGTGAGGAACTGGAAGGGAGTATCATCCAGGTGAGATTCAATAGACAAAGGTGCTGTGCTAAGGAAAGAGATCAGCTGCGCAAACACTAAGTGGGGTGCAAGCAGCGGCCCTCAATAAAAGGCACCGTGGGTAGTAATGAGCTAGAAACTGTCTGAGCTCCTGCTGTGGTGCTGTGGCAGTCTCGGGTGTTTGAGCCAGCCTGAAGACCAAAATGAGCAGAATCAGTGAGAACGGGGACCTATGGGAGAAGGCTGATTTTATTAGAACAATTTGAGAGGGGACACAAAATACCTTTACATTAGTGAATGTAGAAGATCACTTAAAAAAACCCACCCTTCATGCCCACTAAGGAGAGGACATAGCTGTGTTTCATCTGCAACAAATGTAGGTTATGTTCTCTTAGCTGTAAGGATAATTAACACATTTCCTAGAGGTGTGGACTTTCCTTCACTAAGGGTGTTTTTGGGAGCAAAATGTTTGCCTGGATTTTCCTTGGCCCTGTCTCAGAGCAGGAGGATGATCTCCTGAGGTCCCTTCTAACCCCATGCTCCTATGATGGGTCTTAAAGACTTAAAACAGCTTTAAAAAAACAAGGCCAAAAAAAAAAAAAAAAAGAAAAAAGGTGCAGAGACTTCTGCCCTTTCCTGCCTGAGGCACAGGTCTCTATGTACAGTAGCAAATTGTTATCTTTTCTCCCAGTTTGAGTGTAACAGGTATTGAGTAATGTTGTCATAATGTGGTGACACATGAGCCAGGGTGTGGCTCAGACCCCAGAGAGGTAGTGATGTAGTACAGCCATAGGGTCCTAGAATCAGAGAATAATCTGAGTTGGAACAAACCCGTCAGGATCATTGAGTCCAACTCTTTGCCTTGCACAGGACACCATGTGCCTGAGAGTGTTGTCCAAATGCTTCTTGAACTCAGACAGGCTGGTGTTTGGTTTTCTTCTGTTCTCTAGTGTCTCCCTTTGCCCCCAGAGAAGGTGCACATTGTTCTGATTCGTTCTCCAGACACATCTCACTGCAAACAAGTTGCTCTCTCCTGTTCCTGGCAAGACGTGAAGCTCTGAGAAGATGTCCTGCCCCATAGGTTTTGTTTTACTGATGACAGCAGTGCAGAAAGTTCTCCTCTTTGTGGTACCCCGTGCTCCAGCAACTGTCTATCCCTCTCATGGCTGGATGTCTGCAAACCTGAAGGACTGAAAGTATAAATACAGATGAAAATACAGATATTCCTGCAGTGGGTCAGGTTTATTTCAGAGGTGGCCTGCTTCCCCTCCTGAGGGCACGTGTTGGCTCTTCTAGAAGGGATGATGGACTAGACCAGGAAAAGATGCAAAGCCCCACCGACTGTGAGCAGCAGGACTGGCATGGGCAGGGACATGGGAGACATGTCAGGGAGAGGCAACTTTGGGCTAGCACTTGCTTATCAGAAAACCCAGGCTCTTGTGAAAGATGCAGCCTGAAGCCATTTGGGGTGTTCCCATCACTGCCATCAGGCTACCAAGGCTGGTGTCTGGGAGAGTGTCCCTCTGGGTCAAGAGGAGTCAGACAGCCCATGCTAGCAACCGTGGGCAAAGCTCAGGTACCTGAGCAAGCACGTGATGGGCTGTGCCAGAGAACAGCAGGGATGTTTATGGCAGGATCAGCCTCCTCTCCTGCTGGCAAAACAAAATGACAGCTGCCTCCTTGCCCTGCAATGGGGCCGGCAGTAACCTCGCACAATGGACTCCCAGCATAGTCAGTCAGTAAATTGTACCAGACTTGGTCTCCCAGACAGAAAAAACAAACCCCTGCCCGTTTGATGTTTACACTAGATGTTTATTTTACAGTTCATTTCACAATCCGTTTCTCTTTTCCCTTTGCTGCGAGGTGATTTATGGTGCCGCAGATCCTATCTGCCTGCCCTGCCCAGGGCACAGACCCGGAGAAAAATCTGCCAGGGGTCTGTCCCTGCTGTTGTTGCTCTTTTGTCTACAGCTGCCCTTACCTATGAGTAAAACTAAAGCAGTTTCTTCCAAACAACGATAAATTAGTCTCTTGCTACGTTATGCTTGTGTTGGTGTTTTGAGGGGTGGGTGGCACAGGGTCTCTGAAGAAAACAAGCAAACAGACAAGGTGGAAGGGGCTGTCCTATGTTTCCATCTGGCTGACTACTGCCCTGGTCTGACTGGTGGGGTGTAGAGTACTCCTGGCACACCGTGGAACTGTAGACCCTGCAGCCCATCCACTGTGCCTCCGTGATGAGGAGATGCCATTCCCGGCTGTGGGGCAAGTCTCTGAGCTGTTGGGATGGTCCATGACTGCAGGAGATGGCTAGTCCCTGCCTGCCCTGCACCATAAGGGACTGTCGGGGGCTGCTGGGATTAACGGGGATTACTTGCTCCATGGTACATTTAAATGCTGATTTTTATGCTGCTATGTCTTAGCAGATTTTGGGGAGGTAGTTTGGCCTCACTGGTTTAATCAGGTCCTTTCCTCCGCAGCTGAACATGCAAAAAAGATATGCTGCATTTTATTGAGAAAATAGGAGACTTGATCTGAAGATACGGTGAGAAATCCCTATTACTTGACCTTCCTTGCTGTCTGTGAAGGTGAAGGATTCAACTCTTCCTTGTGCAGAGCCAGATGCTCCCTGTGAATAACTGGACCCAACCTAAAAGCAGGAGGAAGTGTATATAAAAAAACAGAGGTGTGGTAATGACACTATCAGGCTTCATGTGCATTGTGTAATCTTTGTATGCATGCTCCTCAGTTGTGGCTAAGTCACTCCTTAAAAACGATGACAAAATTCTAATAAGATGACTGGCTAAAGGTGCTTGTTCTTTTTCCCCAGGAAAATTATATTCGCCTCAAGCAAATGTGTATTTTTGTGGACTGAATGCTTATGTGGCAGACATAGTGGCTTGATATCCAAGTCAAAAGAAGTTTTTGAAAGAAGTTTTCTCTTCCAATTTTTTTTATCACCACTAATTGCCCTGATGTTGGCAACATGTATGGATGGTAAAAAACAGAACACTTTCACATGGAGGGCACTGTGAACCTATGATTACCCAAATTAATAGCTAAATAAGTGTCTCCCTGTAAACTTGTTTAGCAATTTACACCTTTCAAATTGCAGTTGTTCCAAGCAGGGAGTTTAATGTTAAGAAATTGTTTTCATGTTCAACTTGTTGCAAACTAGAAGTCTAGAAAAAGGGAATTGATTTGGCAATACATGTATTTGAGTTCTAGGACACTGGTCCAAATTTAGTCCATTCCTACACTGGTAACAGTTCTTAAAAGCAATATGAAAATACCTATTTTTTCCAAAAGCATATGTACTTTTATTTAACTGTGGAATCATTCTTTCTTAGCAGTAATAATTCTCCAGACATTGGAGACTGATGTTGGAAATAGAGAAAGAAAATGGTCAGGGAAGTACGAACTTCTCTGCTTTCGTGCACATGACTAAATACTTAAAAGGAAGATCTGCTACATTTCACTATTTTATGTCAATAACACCTCTAAACAGTACATTAAAAAATAAAAAACCAACACTCTGAGTATAAAAATTGACCCCAGGTTAGCTAAAATTATATCTGATAAGCCCCAGTAAAGCTTAAACCATTTGCACCAGTACTGTGAAGCTGAGGTAGGCATTGTGGGTTTCTTTTCCTCTAATTGAAACTGTACAATTTAGAAAAGAAAGCAAGGCTGACACTGCCCAGCAGCCTGATATAAAGACATTCCTGAAAGCTGGTAAGGAAGTCAAAGGTAGAATTGAAAAGCTGAGGGTTGGCAGCACTAGGTAGGGCAAAGACGATTTCTGCAGAGTGATCAGGAGGTGCATTTCGTAAGAGAGAAACCTTCCCCTGGATAATTTTTCATAGCTAGCAACCATGCCTTGCAGTTTCTGTCTTGCAACACAAGTTTTACGTGGAGATTGTGTCTCCCTACCTGACCTGCATGCCCTGAAAGAGGGTCATGAAGCCTCAGGGAAAAATACAGCCCCTGGGGAGTCCTGAGGATACCTCCTTGGTTGCCTCTTGTCCCCCAGAGGCCATGACCAATGGGTCTGCAGAAGGGACAGCCCAGTATTGCAAAGGTGAAGTGGGGAGTCTGACATTGCAGAGATGCCAAAGGTGCCCAGGCTTTGCAGAGGTGCCATGTGGACCCCAAAAACTGCTTCTTGTGCCTGGTGTACTCTCTGCCCAAGAACCATTGCAGAACACATGCAAACCTGCCTTCACGTGGATCAAAAGTGGAGGGATTGTCCCTCTCAGCTCCTACCAGCCTCACCGTCCAGACCAAATTCAAAATCCCAAAGGAAAAGATTCAACTGGTGTGTTGCAATATCCTTCCTCTATCTGTTTTTGCCAACCCTGTTTCTCAGTCTCTTGGCTAAGATCAAGTACAGTATCTCAAGGACACCCCAGCTCCAGAGGGGAAAAGGAGAGATGCAAGCAGTTTTGAAAGCACTTGTTTACATTATTTTGTAACTCCTTGGGAATCATAAATGAAGTACAGGCACCCATGAAATGAAAATAACCCTAGGAAAGCAGTTAGTAAAGGAATTGTCAATATATGCAATGAGAATTGAAATAAGGTAAATATAACTCTACTAAAAAGAATAGAGATATAGCTGCTGAGGTCTGTGTTTCTGTGGTTTGTAAGTCAACTTTAGTGCCCATTGAGTATGTCTAGTTCCCAGTTTCTGAAGTTTTACTCCTGAAGCTCTGCTCCTTGCAGGAGGCTCTGTAGGTTTGGGTCTCCACAGTTCTTTTCTATAAAAATTCTGGCAGTTCATGAGGAATGGTTTTCTAGCACTTTATTCTATTACATCTCCCAGGAATGCAGTGTAGGACTAAGAAAAATCTATGATATCTTTTCAGTGTAGTTTGTATTTAGCAGCACAAAACCTGCAATACTTACACCGGTAAACCTTTCCCTAAAAGTAAGTGCCAGACATAGGGCATAAGCACAGGGCTCTCCCAGCCTTGTCTTAGGAAGGTACCCAGTGTGACAGTGACAGGGCAGCCAGCAGCTGCAGCCCAGGGAAGGGCAGCTTCATGCGAGATTGGCAGCTTGGGAATCTGCCACGGAACAAGCCTTGAGAGCTATGGACCATGGGCATGCAGACCAGACGTAAAGGAGCAAGCTGCTGGCATAAAAAGAGTTCCTGCTCTTTATTTGGCATTCAGAAATGGCCTATGATGCTACGAAGGGATGGATCAGAGATCTGTGGAGCACTACTTTTTTGTGCTGATTGCAGGGGACTGCATTATTAGGGCTGCTGAATGTTGACGAGGGCTACTATAGTGAGAGAAGCCAACTGATATGATAAGAAATGTATTTTTGTGTCATGTTTCAAGCCATATAATAGCACTGGGCGGGGGTGGGGTGAACAGGAGCAAGAGTTGGGTTAAAAGATGTCCTTTATGTTAGAAAAATCTACTTGAACTCACTTTCCTGTAGTTTAAATGAGAAACTTTGTTAAATTAGTCCTGATAAAGTGCTAACTGCATGAATTATTGTTCACAGGCAGAAAAAGTGCAAATGTCTATCACAATTCCCCCCATTTATCTTCTGGTTTTGGGGTGGGATTTTTATGACCCCCCATAGGACTGTACTTGAGGCCTTTCCCAAATAATAGAATCAATTGTAAGAAACTGCAAGTGAGGATTCTGCATTACCAATAACCCAGGAACAGGGATGCCAACTTGCTTTCATTGTGGATGATTTGATTAATCTTTTATTGAGTCTGTGAAAGGCTATTGAACTGACTCAGACACCTTTTCTGTCTGTCAAAGACACAAGGTGGTTTTTTCATCCAGTTCCTCCCCTTTCCCTCTGAGTGCAGAAAGCCTGCAATTATGGACAGTTTTCAAGGATGGCAGCTTTTGCTAACAGCCAGGACTTGCTGGGGCACAGAGTGGAGGAGCTGAATTGCACTTGGACCAGAATGAAAGCTATTTCAAATGGTGCCACTCAACCCCCCAGGGCTGGGACCTCCCCTCACTTCTGGATATGTATGCTGGGAGGCCAGGATTTGGCCTTGGAGCAGGCATAGCCCATCATTCCAGCTGTAATCAGTTTCTCCTCTGCCATGAGGAACAGACACCCAGTGAACCTATATGCAATTCCACATACTCTGCTGGCACTTCTAACTTCTCTGGCCATGCCTACAAGTGCAAACCAGGAAAGGGTAACATTTGCATGAAAACTCGCAGGAACTGAGTGATCACAGAGATCCTCACATCCTGCCATGCTTGACCAAAACCAGGTAACGGTTTCAAGAGCTTCTGTACAGGAGCGTCTGACCTTGTATGACTTGCTTGTGTAGAAAACCAAGCTTGAACAAATCTTGAGCAGACCTGAGTGCCTTTGCAGAAGATGAAATTTCTTGACTTGTCTCCTGTTCCCTGGAGCCCTTCAGGGTGGGGTCTAGGTCTTTTCATTAATTTTTTCAAGTGCCCACTCAAAGCCTTACCTGAAGCGCTTTAATGTAAGGTGTATTTTCATCAAGAGATTATGGTAGCATTAGCATGTGGTAACACTAGGTGAGGAGAATAAAAAGGGCATTGCTGGAGAAAAAGGGAAAGGCATCTTGTATGAGCTCTGGTCTTCTTGGTGAACCTCAGGACCTTCCATTAGAAGATGGTGACCTGTTTCTAAAATTTTACTGTGATGAAGCAGCTTCCTTTTGTAGGACTCACCAATCTGCTCTGATGTATCTCATTCTACATTCAAACCTAGGTGTCCTGGTGAGTGCTTCATGGTGTCACACTTGTCTCTGGATGGGATCTGCCTCTGGCACTGCAGTCAGCTCTGCCCTCTCAGCCTCCAGTCTAGATAGTTAGCTGATTTTTACAACAGTGCAGTATGCTTGTGGAGGCAGGGGGATTTTTATTCCTTGCAGAGGCAATTCTGGATCTTTCTGGCAGCTTTCTGTGTTGGCTCACAGGGTTGTTAATGTTGTTAATGGTTGTAAAATTATTACGCCCTTTCCTAATATCAGTTGACTTTGGCCTTGCTACCCTTTACACTTTAGCATTTCACAAAGACTTTAAATGTTGGCAATGAGAGCTGGGTATGAACTAATCTGGGCAGCAAGTTACAGGTTGCTTCACTTAAGCTTTTCCATGTGTTGACTTCAGAATCCTAATTTGTATGGGGCTCCAAAGTACATAAATGTGAGAGTTCATTTTTCCCCCTGCACTTGTGACTTAGCTTGAAAAATTAGTTCCTCTGAAAGCCAGTCTGTTTTAGGGTTTGCTAAAGTGAACCTCTCTTTCCAGGAAAGTGGAGTACTGGGCTAAGACTAAGCTTTATGATTCAATCCTTCAGTTTGCAGCCACTACTCTCCTTGGCACAAGATTGAGGTGACACAAGGTATAGATCATTTTCCCTCAAAGAAAAAGCAAAATGTTCTTCTGAGAAGGCCTGAAATACCAATGGCCTGAAAACTCCTTCAGGAATGTAATTTATGGTGCATGTTTGGGGATTGGGGGGGTGGGTGTCAGGTAGACATATCCCATACATTTTTATCTGCACGTCATGCATGTTTCTTTCTAAGCTCCTTCACCCAGAATTGTATTTTAATATTACAACTGAAGAAATGTATTTAATTACTGTGGTCCCTATAAGAAACTCTAGGCTCTTCTGGAGTCCTCTGAAAGTGCAAAGTGTTTCACAATGTATGAAGAGGTAATTTGCACTGAGAATCAATATGCTAATTATTGTGTCAGCACTTACTGTTTTGGCATGTTTCTTGGCTTCTTGTCCCGGAGTATACAGCCACGTATGGTCCCAATTCCTTTGTGAGATGTAAGATGTGCCTTGGCTCTGCAACAGTCACAAGACTTGTTAAAAGAGATGCAAACTGAAGAAGACTGGCACAGTTTGTACTGTCTTATCCAGTCTAGCTTCATTCTATTAGGGAACATCAATTAAATCAGATGAAGAAATTAAGGAGCTTTTGTCTAGCTGGTAAGTTAAATAAATAATGACTAAAATAAAATGATTGTTAAACAGATGAGTCAAAATAACTCCCATACCAATCTGTACATTTATACAATGTCAAGTGGTGTGGGAATACAAGTGTCAAATATAGGCCCAGAGATGTTCCCCTTCTTCATTTTATTTATTTCGAAGATGGTTGTGCTCTGAGTCAGGGACCAGGAATAGCTGTGCCAGGCGCTGCGCTACCTCAGAACAAAAAGATGAACTTTGCCTCTTGGCTTCTTCTGCAGCCTGGCAGCTCTTTGGGACACCAGGGCTGTGCAGGTGTTGGGAGGAGGGTGAGAAACAGGCAGACAATACAGCTTTTAACATCATGGCTCCAAGCATGAAATGCTATAAACACAGGGTGCACACAACATGTGGCTGCAGAGCATTGGGCCACAGAGTTTCTGATATGACTCTGTGACGGGGCTGTGAACCACCCAGGACGGCAGTCAGGATGGTCCTGGGAGCTTAGAAAAAGCAACCTGAAAGCACCATCTCTCTCTGCTAGACCTGTTAGTTCTTAATTGCTCCATGGTAACTAATGACTAAGCTGCATAGGAAGAACTATAATGCAAACTTGGATTACGCTTCCAGTCTTAAAGTGCTTGCTTTAGGGGCTATGTATACGTGTGAGGCATGGCGAAGGCTGGTGAAGTGGAAAGGTGCTGTAGGTCAGGATAAGTAGTCATAAGAGAAGAATGTGGCTCTTTCCTCACCCTTACTGTCCCTGGATACAACAAAAAACAGGGCAGGCAAAAGGGACAGGTGTGCACCTGAGACTTCCTCACTCTCCAGGTGTTCACAGCACAAATGAGAGTGAATGGACCTCCTTTAGTTGCCCAAATGACCACTGCAAACTTTCTGGCAGATCACTTTGCATTTCCCATTTTTTCCCCCTCACCTGGGAAAAAGGCTGTTGGATTATTGCTTTGCCAGCCAGATGCTAAACTGCTAAGCCGGCACACAACCCAGTCTGAGACCCCACTGGGCTTAAAGGTGTTCACCAAACCCCATTACTCACCTTCCAAGCAACAAAATGGCTCTTGTGCCCACCCTGTATATGTCTTCCCTGGGACACATGTATCTCTTGGGGATCCCAGACACAGGGGACTAAGCCAGGGGCTGGTGATGGGTGATGCTGGGTCAGTCACATACTTTCTCCATGTTTACTCCCCACCACCAGCACAAGGAAAATAGTTATATACTCTCTAATGCAAAGATAAAAAGTAAAAGCTATGAAGGATTTATAAATCTATTTATATTTACTAATAATTTTCAGATATAATTTTTCTAAGTCTTTGTGATGAAGAGCTAGGAGAAAAATATTTGTAAATGGTGCTACTCCCCATCTCAGGCAACCATCAAAGACTTTTTGTCACAAGTAGTTCTAGTTTTACTTTATCAAGGCTGCCAAGGACTTTCTGAGCCTGATGACAAGCCTTTTAATTTGAACAAGCACATGTTTGGGTGGGTTTTCTCACAAAAGATGAGAGATGATAAACAAGCAAGGTGAAGCTAACCTAGAGATGGCCTGCCCTGCTGCTGGCTCATCTCATTTTTTGGCCTCTGATTTGTTTTATTGGAAAATTTCTGGTTTGTATTTGTTAGGTTTATATTCTAACACTTAATATTTCCACTTTATATATCAGCTTTTCATTTTGAAATTGCTAACTACTATCAGGTAACTAAGCTTAACAGAGATTTCTTTCTCTAGCTGGAACTTAGATAGCAGAGAAAGAGTAGATACTATTGAGAAGTCCCACCCAAAATTTCGCAGGGTGCTTTGACTCCTTTACCTGCAGTAATTAACCTTGCCCCCTGCAGCCCCTGGTCAGCAGCTCTGCCAGCGGGATACCTCCAGCAGCCGCTCTCTCGAAGGTGAGCACAAAGGCTCACAGAGTAGAAATGCCTTTGGGCCCCCGGCATGTGAATAGGTCTGCTCAGCTATGCTGAGTTTAGTCATGCATTTTAAGTTTCTTCCTGAACCGGGGTCTTAATTCTTGTGCAATTTTACCGGAACAAAGAGGTCAGATTATTTATAGGTCGGTCGCCTTTGTGTTCACGAGGCTAGCAATGCCTTCGGTGCTCCAATTTCTGGGACTCTTTTTCCCTCCGGCTCTTAAGTCCCAGCTATTCTCTCCTAATGCAATAACAGTAATTATCCTATCGCCGGCCACCGCGGCACCCTCCATTAGCGCCTGCCTTACCCAGCGCACAGCACAGGCTGGCAGCCAGGTAATATCCCTGTAATTTATAGCTCATCAGAGAAGCCAAGCAGCCCACGGTCTTCCTGTTTTGTAAAGAGACAGACTTATCACCTAGATGCTGCCGTGATGGGTGCACTGGAAAGGCAGGAAGACAAAAGTAGTGCACAGGCAAGCTCTGGCCCCATCTCTGTTTATGTTCTCTGTTGTTTCATTCAGGCATGCAGTCAAGTAAAATCATCATGGCTCAATGCAACTAGAAGAAAATATTGACATCTTTCTGCTTCCCAGTAGACCCATGATCTTTCACAATTTAATTGTTGTTTTGCATCCAGTTGTTGAGTGCAGAATGAAAGATGCGGAGCTGGGCATGCTAAGGTTTCTCTGCTAAGGCCAGGATTCAGCACAATGACGACCTCTTAGATGTTTCATGTGACCACTGTCCTATAGCGTCCTATAGGGTGTGCTGTGTGGTGCATGCACTGACTTCACTGCTTCTTTGGTCCTTGTACGTTTTCATGACCAGAGGGATGAAGCATCTCTCCAATGAAGACAGGCTGAGAGAGTTGGGATTGTTCAGTCTGGAGAAGACTCTGGGGAGACCTTACAGCACCTTCCAGTACTTAAAGGGGGCTGGAAGAGAGCTGGAGAGGGACTTTTTCCAGGACATGAAGTGATAGGCTTTAAACTGAAATAGATCTAGATTAGATATAATGGAGAAATTAACTACTGTGACCATGGTGAGGCATTGGAACAGGCTACCCAGAGAAGTTGTGGATGCCTCATCCCTGGAAGTGTTCAAAACCAGGCTGGATGGGGCTTAAAGACCATCTGGTTCCAGCCCCCCTGCCATGGGCAGGAAAGTGTCCCTACCCATGGCAGGGTGGTTGGAACCAGGTGGTCTTTAAAGTCCCTTCCTGCCCAAACTAGTCTATGACTCTATGAAATTCTCCTTCATGACAGCACTTGTTGTGTGTCTGCTCTTGGGAGGAGCAATTCTTTTTCTTTAACTGCTAGGCTGACACATCCAGCAGGACTTAGATGGCAGTGGTATTTGGTGAGGATAGATGAAATTTAGAGCAGATCTTGAGAGGATCACTCCTGACACTTATCCCAACCTCATGCAGGCAAGGCTAGATAGTCCTTTGTGCAGAGGGTGCAAACACACACACATCTGCACTGGAGAGATCAGTCAAGTAAATCTTCTTCGATACCATTTGGACTTGGTCTGCTTCTGTTCTTCAGGTAGCGAGGAACATTTTCCAATGTATCTTAGAGCACCTGAGGATGATAACCACATGCTTACCAGCATAAAAGTTTCTGGCTATGTATTGCTGAAAAGCTTTTGCACTTCTGATGGTCCCACAGCCTCTGAAACTCAGCAGGAGAAAAGCTGCAGGGTCAGAAATACGCTTTCTCTTTGTTCCTTTATCTGCTGTTCATGTTTTTGGCTGAGATAAAAACTCTTTTGGAAATTATTCATGTCTTCATTCAGTGCTTTGGCAATCTGAGGAGACTGCATTACTTGATGCTTCAAGTTAGCAGTGGTAGGGCCCAGATATCCTTGGATTTGACGACCAACAAACATCTTCATCAGTGAAGTCATACAAGGCAATGCTGTTTTGATGTGCAATTAAGTTACCAGGGATCTAGTCACAGAGCAGAGCTTTGAACTAAGTAGCTCTCCCTGTTTGAAGCAAATGGGGGAATAAACACAAATACTTGCGCGTCTGAGACTCAGTTTGCCAACGGGCAAACTGACAGGTGGGGCGATGTTTCACAGCAAAGCTGGCTCTAGTGGAGAAGGTGCAGGAGAGGCACAGTCAGGCATGAAGGTGAGGCATCCTGCACCCTGCCTGCTTGCTCCACGTACCTGTGATGCTCAGTTCTCTGGTTAATCCTGGCGAGTCTTGCAGAAAGAGGACTTGATCATTCAGAGGTCAAGAAATACCAGTGTGAGTGTCAGAAGCAAAGCTGAACTGAAACTTGCAAAGTATTCCTGAAAAAAATGGGAAAAACTTCTTCAAATCTCGGTGTAAGAGAGGAAGAAAAGCGAAGTCAGACTAAAGTGCAGTAAATGAGATTAAAGATAATTTAGGCATGGCCTGCAATCAAAGGAGTATTTTACCTCTGCTCTGGTTTAAGGAAGATAAATCCTAGGGGCAAAAGCAGGCTGGTTAATGGGAACAGGGATATGGAAATAGAACTGTTAGTGTGTTCAAAGAGCAGGCAGTGTTACTCTTGGGAGCCTGTCCAGGAGTTCTGGAAAGACCAGCATGTAAGGTGGCACCTCTAATAGCAACTGTTTTTATGCATCTGCCAAGTCAGAGAAGGACCCCATGACTGTGGGATATCCATTACAATGTGTTCACTTGTGCCAAGTTAAAAAGTAATCCAGTCAACAATCATCGTCCTTGTAACTCTGAACTCACTGGTATGCAGGGCTTTGGAACATGCCTTGAAGGCTAATTAAAAATGCAAAGGCACATCAAAAATGGGATGAAATGCAATGAAAGGTGCATCCTGCCAGACTAACCCGATGGTTCTCTTTGATAAAACAATTATTTTTCCAGACAGGTGATATCTGCCAGATTTCCTTTATCTAGACTACTTTAATGTATTTGCTATGATGTCAAGTGAGAAACCACTGATGTTGCTGGAGACAAAATAGATTAGTAGAGGAATTGCGTTGCTGGTAAGAAGAGGAAACAATGAGTGCTGATGCTGGAGATCTCAGGTCAGGAGGAATTATCTAGGAGAGTTTTTCAAAAAGGAGTTTTGGGACCAATTTTGTTTCAATGTTTGCATTAATGACATGGTCCTGGCCCATGTGAGCACTGTGTTGATGAAATGTGCTGCACAAAGCCGTGACGCATTGCTGGCATGGAGGTGGTTTGCAGGCCAGGCAGGATGAGCCGGGCACCTTGAGAATGGCTGTAATAAAAGGAGGATGACATTCAAGTAAAAGACCAAGAGTCATGCAGGTGAAAACTGATGTCAGAGGCTGCTTTTGCTATTAACAGTGAGTGAATCAGTTCGCAAAAGAATAAGGAAAAAGTAAAATCAGCATTAAATAGTCATAGGAGCATTGTGTGCTGCCAGCTTGATTCCTAGGCTGCACCTATTTCCAGTCGTGATTAGGAAGAATTAGCGCCCTGATGAACTCTCCTCCCTTCCCACCTCTCCTTTTGGGAATGATGCATTAAGAGCAGAGCAGCAAAGAGCTGCAAGGGAGACCAGGAGACCAGAAATCCTCTTTCCTGGGAGGCAAATGAAGTTCCTGGAGCACATGCATGGGGTGATGGGTACGGAGTTCGGTGGAAAAGGCACCCTCCTGCAGTCTCAAGTATTCAAGCACTGCCTGTTCCAGCCTAAGGCCAGCCCACATTGTTGCCAGCCATTAGCACATCCACATCTATTTTCTTTGGATTAGGGTCAAAAGCAGCCCCTGGAATAGGTAGCATAAGTGGGGGTAGGGTAGAGGAGGGAGGAAAGGCCAGGCTGGACCAGCTCAGTGGTGCCTGCTAGTGCTTTGGTGCCAAATGAACCTGGATGCAATGTTCCACTCTCCGTCCCAGAAGTCCCTTCTACCACCAGTGCCTGGTAGTGAAGCCGTAGCCTTGTGGGTCCAACTCCAGCAGTGGTATTCTCTGAGGAGCAGTCGCAGTTGCATGCAATTCCATTGGGTTTAATATTTTTCCTCAAAGCTTGGAAAAGTAACTGAAAAGAGTGAATAAAAACAATGTCTGTCTGTGTGATTTCACAGCCAGAGCAACCAACTACATCTTACTCTGTCTGGCAATTACCAGGAGTTTTTATGCATATCTTGAAGAGAAGGGAATTTGCAGGAGTGCCCCAGGTGGAGTTTAACCAAACAGGAATGAGCAGAGTCAGACCTTCTAGCCATTCTTCAGGCCAGTCAGACATGGAGCAACATGGGTCTGAAAGATGCATTGCTGCCTTTGTTGGAGATACACTGGGAGAGGGGTTGTTGCTGTGGACTGTCAGATAAGGCCCAGCAAGCAGCTAAGAAATGGCTTCCAGCCCAGGTTTCTTGCCCAAATACTCTGGTCATTAAGTGGAGCAGAAGTGCCTGCAGCAAAGGGCTGCAGGGCTGTGCCTTTTACAGAGGGACTGCAAGGTTACATTCCAGAATTTCTTCAGCTTCTCTAGGAGTTCATATTTGTCTCCATCACTGCTGTCTTTCTAAAGTGAGGGGTGAGAGGGAAAGGCAGATTGTGAGAGAAGGGTAAATGAGAAAGAGAAGAGCTGGATGCCCATGCAAAACTGCAAGAATTAAAAGTGGTGGCTCTTAAAGCTTGTGTAAGACCCACACAGCATTTCCAGGCCTGGCAAAGCAGTCAGGCAAGCTCTGGCTCCTCTTGCGAGAGCAGTCAGGAGCAGAGTGGGACTCTCCCACAAGGGAGCCCTGGCAGGCTGTTGATTAACCTGTTGGTGTTGAGAAGCTAAGTCAAATACAAGTATTAAACTGATTATTCATATTCCACTCTGTTCACTGTGGGAAGATTTTGGGGTTATGTTTGTGGGCCATACAGATTGTCAGAGTGAATCTAATTAGCAAGAGAAATCCAAATGGAACAATGACTGGTAATTGTTGCTAATGATGCAAGTGTATTATACCAGCTTAGATGAAATATTGGGTTGCAAGCAGCACCAAAAGGCAAAGGAATATTTACAGTAGTACATAAAACACTACAAGTCCTTACCTCACTGCTCTCAGGTGTGGTTGAGCTGAGCTCCCACCTGTAAAACAGCAGTGACTTGTCAAATGTTTCCTGTCTCCACCAAAATAAAATGCTGGAAAAAATGAATGACCTGCAGAGCACTAGTAGGAGAGGTGGTCTGTGTCTGGGCTGAAAGCTATGCCCTGCTTTGCTTTCACTAACACAAACCTCAGCTGCCTACAGAGGTGATTTAAAAAAAAAAAAAAAGGACCGTTTTTCCTTGCACAGTCTCTGGACTGTGTCTCCATCCTGGGGGTCAGAGCATCCTGGGCTGCCAGCCGTTGGTGCTGCTCTTGGCATGCCTTTCCAGCTCCACCAAGCAAGTGTGGGGCTGGCCGCCATCCAAATATTTTGAATTCAGTTTGGATCGTGAATTATGCAATACACACAGGCACACACACAAACCCTATTTTATTGTTTCTGCTAAAACAGGTGGCAGAAACAACAGGAGGTGGGCATGTAGATCTTTCTGACTGTACAGTGAGCTGTGCATCTGAATTTGTTGGAAAGATCTGGTCCAGCGCCTGCATTTTTGTTAGCAGTCCCCAAACTAGAGTGCTGATCACTGGCATTCTCAATCTGTGGAAACTGCCATGCTTAGACAGCCAGTGGAGCCGAGACAACTTGTAGCAGTCATGGATTTGGTCCAGTGCCAAAGCTTCAGCTCTCATGTGAGATGGCCCTGATCCCATGCCTTGTTTCTCTCTTTCTAGCCTTCAAAATGTTTTGGACTGATCTGTAGTTCAAGACCTACTTACTCCTCTGAGGTTTTGTGGTAGGATGGGTTTATAAGAGATGAATTGTATAGAAATATTGAGAAAGGTGGTTCAAGCTGTAACATTTTGTTAGACAAGTTACATGTTTCTTTGGCACTACTATAAATGTAAATGTGATGGGAAGCCTGGACAATTGAAACGTTTTCTGCTTATTCATCCTTCCAAATGTGTGGGGGTAACACAACCTGGTACAGGCAAAAATGCAGAGTCTCCTTTGCATTATTAACATTTTCTGTGGCATGAAAGATGAGAGTTATAATGGACGAGAGTAAGTGTAAGGAAGTGTAAGGAAGAACGAGAGTGATAGTTTTAAGACTTCCATGTCTGCAGAACACTGTATTGTGGACCACAATGTGCAAGCTGGCTGATAAATATCCCTTCATCCTTATGGTGTTGGAGTGTTGGAGATGAAGTTGGACATTCAGCTAAAATGAAAATATTTTAGTTAAAAGAGAAAAAAGTTTATACTAACATTTGCAGAACTTGAATAAAAACAAACAAAGGGGCTGGTAAAATCTAATTCAGATACTTTTGTTTGAAATATCTTTTAAGATTGGTCTGAGATAGTTGATGTCTTATAAAAACTCTCAAAATTTCAGCAATAATTTTCAGTATTTTTTTATATAGATTTGGCAAAAATTTTAAAAACATAGAGAAAAGAAACCTTTCCTCTGTGTAGTCCTCTTCCTAATGCAGGTTTGAGTCATTATAATGAGTCCATGATAGGCAATGAGTTCTGTCAAGGACATGTAAGGTTAAAAATTAAAAACCTGTGAAAGTACTCAGCACATTTAATACATTTGAAGGACTTTTATTTGAGGTTTTTTCCAATGACTGGCATAGAAGTTTTTTCATGTATCTAAATTCATACTTCGAAATCCATTTTTCACAGCTAAGAGTGTCATCATAACCTCAATTTTGTCTTACAAATAATGGTGAGATTTGACTTTTTCTATGCTTTTATTTCTTCAGGATTATAAATGATTTTTTTTTATTTCTCTTTGCTCTTCAGCTGTGTCAAGGAATTTTAAAGGTAAACAAAATTTTGCAATTGAAAACAAAATTCCTACACTGTCAGACAACCCTTATTTGAAACACCAGGAGTAAATTGTTTCTTTGCAAATTATTTGCACAAGTGAATACATAAAAAAAAAATCTCAGTTTTTTTTAGATATTCAAACTCAGTTGAACAAGGTACTGTGGAGTCTGAATGTAAAACCCGGCATAAAACCTGGTCCAGCTCTGAGCAGGGAGCTGTACCATATGAGCTCCAGAGGTCCCTTCCAACCCAAATTATTCTATGTTACTAAAATTAAATTTTCTTCACAATTTTTAGTACAGTCTTTCTAGACTTATTGGAATCTAGAGTTTTCCAGTTTTGAACACTTTTTTTTTTAATCAAACCCTGGCTCAGAGTTCATTTATCTCGTCATTATTATCAGTTACAATAAATAAATCTGATATCTTCAACTGGAGGGCTAGGGAATGATTAAAAATTAGGGAATGATTAAAAAAGGAGACCTCTCGGTATCACTTTAACAAGAGTGAACAAATGCTCAAGAGGAATCTTCACAAACCATTTTGCTAATTCACTTGCAAATACTGTGTAAGAAGGCATAACAGAACCGACTGGATCATATTATAACCAAGCTTTATTCTCTAACAGCTTCAAAATACTTACAAAACCTTATGCCTTTATTACCCAAACCCATCACACTGTAGCTAACGTAAATCAGCTGGTGTTTTAAATGTACTTTTACAAAGAAATCTCTGTAATGCAAAATTCTCACTTGAAATTATCAATTGATGGATCATTTAAGAATGCAAAAGTAGAAGTATGGCAGTACAGGTTGAGATGGGCTCTCCAGTATAGAGCTGGACTCTTTCTTTTGCAGTAACTCAGGGAACATGCCATACCATACATATAGTCCCCAGAGTAGTCAAGAAGAATGTAAGTCTTGTTTATTCTAGAATCCATGAACCTGCATAAGTGAAAATACTTTGTGTTGTTAAGCCATAGATGAGTCTTCCAAGTTTGTTTCTTTTAGCACGGCTCCTGTGGGTTTTCAGAAGCTACAACTATCTCACCTGTGACTGAGAGTGACCTAGAATGACTCTTTCTGTGTCACAGGCACAGAAAGTTTTTATCAGAAGCCTAAAGGACAAAAATTGTAATTACATTTATTGATTCAATGGCTTCCTCACTTTTTTTTTGGATGTACACTCAATGCTATCCTAAGATGCTGTCCAATGTCAGTGTCCACTACTCCTTTTTGTCCACATGACTTCTCTATTCATTTGCTTTCCTATGGGTTGATGTTCTGTCTTGTCTATTAATACAGAACTGGAGGAGGCAGCAGCAGGAGGGAAAAAACCAGCAGCTATCCAGCTGGGATAGGAGAAATTGTGTTCCCAGCCTGTGAACATGGAAACGTGAGAGAGATCTGTGTCAGAGCAAGATGAGTTTTACAGCTTCTAAATTCCACATCAGTCCTAACACCTAATCTTTGCTGTTGGACATTTGTTCATCTCCTGAAAAACATTGGTTAACCCCCCCCAATACTTTTTAACGTCATCTCCCGAATGCAATAAACCTTCTTAACATTATTAAATGTGATTATCAAAGAACAAAGAATTTGCCCTACTGTCTTTATGATGTACAATTTACATACTATCCCATCCTTCCAGTACAGGTTGGTAATTTTTAAAGGGCACTAAAATATGATAATAACAAGTATGCTTACTGATGTATTATGAAATGTATCCCATTAGTCACTTTATATCTGAAAGGCAGAAAAAATTTCCACCTAGCAACAGAAAGGCTTTTAGGATTATAAAAAAATATTTGGCAGGCAGTAGGCGTGCTAAACTACGCCAGGAGGAACCCAATTGGAGGTTTCTAGAAACAACAGGAGCATAAATAAGTTGTCATCAGTGTCTCCCACCACAGAGCTGGAAGAAAATTCAAAGCTTTGTAACCTGAAGGAGCTATAGAGAAGCAAAGGGCAGCCTGGTGGCAGCCATGGGCTGGCTCTAGGAGGAACCATTGCCCTCCAAAGCCACGGGGAGAAACATGACAGCAGATACTCCAGCTCACCTGATCCCCTCTGTACCGTGCTCCTGCTCGTCATGTGGGCCACAAAGACAACACTTCACTTTCTTAGCTTAGAAAAAATGATCTACTACCAAAAATGCCCAATTAGTGATGGTACTGGTGAGACAGATAGCGAGATTCTTGCTAAGAATTCTTTTTTTCTTTCCTAGATAAGAACATAGCTGGTGCAAGAGATCTTACCATTGGAAAGCAGAACAAGCAGAACACTTCAATTTTGGACACAAGGCAAAGCCAGGCAAACGACAAGAACTTTTCCTCTTTATTTATATCCAACGCTGCCTAGAAAATTTTGTTTTCTGTGACTTGTAATTTATTCAGGAATAGAAATGTCCTTGATGGGCCAGGCAAAGTCTTTTTCCAAGAGAACTGTGTTTTAAGCACATTAAAATTTTCATTCAATTCTTTTCCTTCGGAGAAGGAGATCTTTTAGCAGAAGAGGACTATGCAGCCAGCAAGCCTCCTTGTGTAGCTCAAGAGTGGCCTGCTGAGGAGAAATAGGCAGCAATACTTAATTTCCCGGATGCATCCAAGCTCAGGACCTGGGGGGTTCAGAAGGCTTTAGTGAAGATCAGAAATATTTTCTTGCCTCAGCAGGACATGTACCTTAGCTACACAGCACTACATTCCCTACAGTCATCCTAAAATGAGATGAAGGAATTGCTTTTTCCCCTTCTGAAATGACACCACTTTCGTGTCTGATCACAATGAGTAAATGAGTAAAATGAATATAAACAGGAAGGACATCGACTGGTTGGAGCAAGTCCAGAGGAAGGCCACCAAGATGATTAGAGGGATGGAGCGAGCACCTCTCCTGTGAGGAAAGGCTAAGAGAATTGGAATTGTTCGGCCTGGAAAAGAGAAGACTTCAGGGTGACCTAATTGTGACCTCACAGTACCTGAAGGAAGCCTAGAAGAAAGACAAGGAGAGACTATTTACATGAGCATGTAGTGATAGAACAAGGGGGAATGGCTTTAAACTAAAAGAGAGTAGGTTTAGATCAGATATTAGGAAGAAATTATTTATTGTGAGGGTGGTGAGGCACTGGAACAGGCTACCCAGAGAAGTTGTTGATGTCCCAAACCTGGAATTGTTTAAGGCCGGGTAGGATGGGGCTCTGAGCAACCCAGTCTAGTGAGAGGTGTCCCTGCCTATGGCAGCAGGGTTGGAACTAGGTGATTCTTTAAAGTTCCTTCCAAACCAAACCATTCTATGGTTCTATGATACTATTGCAAGAGCATAATGAATGCAGATCACCTCTCTGTCTGGCTTCTGGTCCTGGAGGGAGCTGTTTTATTTACAGGACACTCTTTCTGCTGCACATTGAAGACCACCAGAGGAAGGAGGCCTGAGAAAGGACAGGCTTTTTCAGCCCCAGCCTTATTGAAGAGGTAGGAGATACACCTGCAGGAGTCAATGTTCCTGCTCTCTCTCCACGAATCATTACATGGACATTTCTGGACATCTGTTTGCCAGGAGAAATGGACCACACCCTCAACTGGGACTCACTAACACCCTCCTCCAGGATGGCGTTTGCCTTATTTTATTAGTAGTGAGCGACAGTATTTGTGCCAAACCTTCGGGAAAGGCTCTATGCTGTACAAGAGGGCAGCAGGGTCACTCCAAACTGAGTGTTTGACAACACTGAAAAGCAATGAAACGCTGTCTGTGCCTCCTGCAGCCTGCTCCCCAAATGCCAAGCACAAGTGGCCCAGTGGCACCCCCATGGAGGATGCTAGCGAGCAAAACAGTGCTGGACAGGGGAAAGTGGTGTGCTGCTGGTTATCTGAGAAGACATCAGATGCTTTCTTTCATATTCACACCTACTGGAGAGGGTGCTGGGACTGATAAACCTCTGCCTGGAGTAAAACTCTTCCCACCCTTTATGTTAAAGAGAACCCACTTTACTCTAGTTTGGAGAGAAGTCATAAGCTATAATTTGAGGACACCTAAAATGGCTGTGCACTTCCCTTCTGTTCAACATAGTCTTTGTGTTCCCTATCATGAATTAGGTAAGGCAAACATGGCCAGAGAAAACATGGGCTGAAACCTGCCATCAGAGCTCGGCCCCATCACACAACCAGTGCCTGAGGCTGGAATTCGATCATGAGTGAGCTAATAATAACAACACACAGCAAAGAGCAGAGTACCTTGCTGCTGTTGCTGAAAGCATGAAAAATACCATCTTAATTCAGAGAATTATTATGGCATATTATGGCAGGGCATGCCGATAAATGTGGAGCAAGCTAGAAGTGCTGTGCTATGGTATGTACTCCTATTGCAATAATAAAAAAAATTACCTTCTGAAAACAGTTTCAGAAAAAGAAAGTATGTTCCGCTGTTCATTCAACAATAAAGACAAAAAAAGCTATGACAACCACAAAATACTCTTTCCTCAAAGTGGGCAAAAAATAAACTAAAATGAGCCAAGTTACTTTTCTGCCTCTGAAAACCTGTTAAACGCCCCCATGGCCTGAAATATATTTCACACAAATTATCTGGATCTTTTTCAGATTTGTTTTCATCTTTTTTAATATGTCCACTTTATAAAATTTTATTCTTAAAAACAGTAAAGCTCACAGTCAAAGAAACACAGGAACTTCAGAACCTGGTGGCACTTCATGGCTTTCATTTTACCTGGAAGTGAGAAAAAAACTAAAAACCTTTAAGATATTTCCATGAGCTCGGTTAGGATGCAGTGCTTGCACATGTGTCAAAGTCAGCAGCATAAGTGCAGGACCCATCAGTTTGCTAGGCTGCTTCTTGTGCAGCTCCTTCTGGGAAAGCAGAAGTGGTCTGCAGACCTGCTGGAGGCTCCCTTACTTGAAGTAGGACCTCAGCTTCAGAAGGCCTGAAATCCCTTGCTCCTTGCTGCAAGGGCCTTGGCTTCCCAGCAGACTGGGAACAGTACAGGTGAAGACACTTAGGCATACCATGGGGTTGCCGTCGACTGACATCCCTCAGAGCCATCACTGGTACTCAGCACCATGGCTCCCCAGTGTCAAGTAGAACTCAGGCTGTTCTTTGCTCTTGCATGACATCCCTGTAGCAGAGTGGATAAAGCCACCATAGTACAGGAGGAGGCTGCACCACCATCCGCACAGTCAGAGCTTTCCACATGCACCCTGGGAGGTGACCTGCATTTCATTTAAGAGCAGCTTATAATTATTATCTGGGGTTTCTTAGTGAAATACTAGAGAAATCCTAAATTCGATTGGGAAAAGATCAGTCTTTTCTGTTTGCAGTTACTTGCTGGAGAGATTATTCTCAGGAGCTATAAACCATTCTCCAGCAAGGAAGGAGTGTTTGGGATTTCCAGCGTTAATGCTCCTAAGAAATCATTTGACTGTCACTAATGTTATGTAAATAGATGGTTCATGTTTATACTCTACAAAATGCATTTACAAGAAAAAGGCTGACTAATTCCGAGGTCAGCTTCTAATTCAAGGTTAGTGCTCAACAGTTTTTTTTCCTTGCCAAATAAAACCACTAAAGGCTAAATTAAAACCATGTGCTCTAACCTACCTTTATGTAGTTACTGATATAAAGAGGGTGGAAGCAATTTTGCTGTCAAATTTAATGCCACTGTCTAAGGAGTGAAGTAAAACATCCTACAGAAGCTTTTGCACAAGGACATGCATCACAAGTGCCTGACCTAGAAGGTGTGAAGTGCTCCAGTACACGAAAACCACCTTTCAATGACCTATTACTGTTATGGATTAGAGGCTTTATTTCCCAGGAATACATTGAAATAAATAGCAATTTAATCCACAAATTATCCTCTTCATTAGGAAGAGCAATTGGCTACAAGGGGGAAAAAAAAAAGGTCAGCAAGTAGACATTTGATTCTTTTTTAGATGTTTGGATATCCCAGTGATGGTGAAAGAGGCTAGGTCCATTAACTCCCTTTGACTCATACTAGATGGTAATATTGAAGATGGCTACCAAATTTCTGAAAACTATCAATTCCAAAGTTTGCACAAGCATTTTATTCTCTCTTCTAGCCATTTGTTTATTACTGCTTAAACATTATCTGGTCTTTAAAGTTTCACTTAAAACTGAAATGAAAACTAAACCGCACCCTTTTTTATTAGCTTCTTGAGTGTAAATAAAGCTTTACCTTCCCGCAGCATCTTCTTAAAACATTTCACCTGGAGAGAGTGGGAGTGAGTGCTCACTTGAGCAGAAAGTCAGTGATGCTGCTCAACTTCTGCCAGACTAGAAGTAGAGTGCAATGTTTCTGTTTAGACTGATGAACATGCTTCAAAATGGTTTGAGAACAGAGGTCTGTCTCCACGTCTCAATCCCCGTGTGTCTAAGAAATATTTGGCCCAGGTCTGTGAATGTGTGTCAGGGTGACAAAAACTCAAGCAGATACAGTGCTCGTTGAGCAATGGGACTGTGGGGGGCAGGCAACTAGCTCCCGTGCAGAGCCAGCCTGGTCAGGAGCTTCTCAGCTCCTTGGATACTGAGCTACGGACCCTGCTTGGGGTCATGTAACTTCTCCCACAGATCCCAAACAACACTTCTAGTGCTTACAGCTGCAGACAAAAACCTTCAGTTTATAATTGGAGAATTCAGCTGTGAGGCATTCATCTGCAGAGCCAGCTAGCTCAGAGAGTAGATTTCTTTCTGGCAAAATCATTGTGGTTATCTGAAGTAATCTGCTAACATTGAAGTATAAAATACAAGTTGGATTATGAAATAAATAACAAATATTTGCACTTTATTGCCTCAGTAAAAACAGCCAGTTAATTTGTATTACTACGGTTTCCACCTGTTCCACAGCATCAAATATTTCATCTGTCCAAGAGCTCAAGTCCTATTTCCAATGTCCTATTTCCAACAATGTCCAGCTTTCATAATACACTCATTCATCACAGTGGCCAAGTGCATAACACAGACTACAGGGGCTGAAGGAAATACAAATAACAGTTAACTGTAGGATATATCTTCAATTTAGTGAAGGCCAGGAAATAAAGAGCATCCATTTATTTAACAGTGCCGGGCATGGACAGCACGGGCATGTGGCAGCCGAATGTAGGGCTGGGTTTGCCGTGCTTGGCTGTCTGCTTCCACCGAAGTCAGGAAGGCTCCTCTCCCCTACACAGGACTGGAAGGACCCCTGCAGCCCACAGCCAGTCCAGGGTGGAGGTGCCAAATGAGTCTCCCAAATGCTGGGTATTTGCGTTACCTGCAAATGTACCCTGTCCAAAATAAAAATAACAGACGTGGCTCCGGGTTCAAGGCACTGGCTCAGACGCTAAACTGAGGCTGAAAACCATTGCCTGAAAATTACTGAATCTGTCCAGAGCAAAACAAAGATCTCACAACTACTATGAAAAGTGCTAAGTATTCACTCTCCCAAGAGGATTTCTCAGATGCTAAAGCTTATCTTTCTCTGGTGAAATCTCTCTTATTTCCCAAACCCTCTTCTCATTTCAGGTGTTACATCCATATAGTACCTTTAAACCCAAAAAATCCTAAATTTTTTTGCCAAATTGAACTATCATCAAAATGTAAAAAGATCCCTTTTAAATACATGCTCAGACTAGAGGTGGTGACACTAGAAGAACTGCCGTTAGGATCATCTCATATGCAAAATTTTTGTGTCTAAAAGTGCTGACCACACACTTTTATAGTAGGCTCAGTACTGTCTGTAGATCTAACACAGTATCTAGGGATGGGACCCGGCACTGAGTGGGAGTAATCAGAGGGATTATAACCTAACATTGGGCCTATATAACTTTAATGGCTCACATTGCATCTGTACCCAGATTCTGACTATGACTATAGGGGTAACATGACTTCCATGAGGCAGGGTATACCGCCTGAAAAGAAAGAGCTTTAGGTTTTTGGATTAAGTGAAGAAATTGTTTTGAGTGGATCAGCCAAGACAGCAATAATTGTCATGAGGTTTAATGTAGCTTGTGCATTTCTCAGTTGCTTATGGTGGATTTTCAGATATAAGAGTAGGCAAATTGAGAAGACTGTGAAAATAATCCTAGCATAGCTTCCAACAACAGCAGTAAAACTTTTCTGTTGCTAAGAAATGTGAAATTACAAAAAACAGTAATACCAGTTGCTGTAGAACCAACAAAAGCATAAAATATTGTTAGCTACAGTAATTCATTATACATCATCTGATTAAAAGAACCTGAGAAGTAGCATTTTCCAAGATATGCCCTTAGACAAAATTATATGTTTTGGCAGAAAAGGTCTTCTGTAGTGACACGTACATAGCAAAGCTCTTTGTGTGCTGAGAAAACAATTTTAAAAAACTTTACTGAAGAGAGTATATTTTTGCCACTTTTCAGTAAAGACTCAATCATCTTAAAACACTTCCACAGATTTTTCACTGTTTGAACGGGGATTAATCAGTTATTTGTTTGCATGATTTCAATATGATAATGAAGCAATGTAAGAAATTTTTTAAAAAATAAAAAAAAATCAGATCACGATCAAATTATTTGAATTTCAATACTATCCTTAGTTGGAGATGCCAGTATTAACTTTGGGAGATGCTACTTTCTAAAAATCTAATGAAAAATGAGAATGAATGATTGCTGCCAACTAACTGTTGAAATAATATATATTGCATACCTCCATAATAGATGATCATTTAATCTTCATTTAATCTTGAGGGTTATGCTTAGCTTTCAGTCATTCAGGGGGTTTAATCATCTTTACAAATGTCAGAATTACCATCCTTTGTCAAAGTTCAATTCATGGGACCGATAAGGCATGCTTTCACATAGCAGTTTATATCGTAAAGCTGAAAAATCTTAAAATGTTTTCCAGCTAATAGAAGTTATTTTTGTCCAGTAGCTAAGAATTGCTCAATTGCAATTTTAAAATTCCTTAAGGATGAGAAAGATGACGATGAAGAAAAGATGTTTTCGGTGAGTGAATACTCCTTATCTTCATCTCATGCTGTGCTAAAAGTTTGACTGCTCTAATTTTAAAGCTATCTAATCTTTTATGTGCTAAAGCATATGAAATCATCCATTATTAGAAGTATGAACTACAAGAAGAGTTCATTTATTTGGTGTTATATATAACCTTTATATAAAATGCATTATGTGATTAAAAGTTTTTCATTTAGTAATATTCATTAAGTCTCAAACTTTTCTTTCAGAGAACAAAATTGCTTCAACCTGATTGAGATATTTTATCTGGGGAAAAAAATGAATTACTTTTGTACAAATAGTATAATCGTCAGTGAATAGTTTGACACTTGAATTGGATGTGAATCCTGTGTATAAAGGATGTTCTTTACTGGGAGATCCATTCCAGTGAGTGTACAGGCCTCAGGAGTCTCACACTGGAAAACAGTCACATATTCTTCCTTCAGAAATGCAAGTCTTTAAATTTCTTAGAACATGTGGAATGTGTTATATTCATTTCACTGTTGCATCTGAGGCATGCATGAATATTTTTGTTGTACACACACAATTGGAAAGAGTGCAAAAATCTATTAAAGGAAAACTCTACTTAAGGTTGAGCTTTCAATTTAGAGTGATTTTAATTGTAAGAAATTTTATAAATTGATTTTTTAAAAGATATGTTTAAGTGTAGGAAAATAATGCCTATCAGTTTACGAATAAACTGAAGCTTATCAGCGTGGAATGCCACTCTTGAGAGCAGTGGACATTTCCAACTTGGAGAAAATCAGACAATACTTGAAAGGCAAAATAGCTTTCCCCTGAAATGTCCTTTAAAATAATGTTCCTAATTCCTACCCAAAACGGTGGCCAATCTGTCCAAGAATTATGCTTTCAGGATAGATGATTTGTTTTACGATGAAAATACAGTGTAAGCCTGCACTCATGGTTTTAGTTTAGTCCTAGGACTTGGGGGTTTGTTTTTTTGTTTTCGAGTGTCACTAAATCTTTCTCCCTGCTCCTCTGCTGCTAGATTAATTATTTTCTGTGCAAGGGCCCTTCTTTCAAAGTCCTCCATTATTCTGTTTTGACCATACTGGGGAACTTATCCAAGTCAACAAAAAGGCAGCCTTGATCACAGAGGGGCTGTTGATGAAGTGGATGGTTTCATATATTACTGGGGGAGAATTGCCTTAACATCGCCTATTCACACTGCTGTGCCAGGTGCATCCACTTACATGGCTCAAAACGCTGCTACCACCACATCCTCCGCTGCCAAGACCATTATGTGCTCTGAGTGATGGAGCAAGAGGCAGGACTTAGATCTTCTCTGTTGGGAAGCAGAGGGAGAGAGACCGATCTTTGTGTCTCAAAAAAAAAAAAATCTGCTGTAGGGAGCCTTTTAACTCGCTGCGGCTCTGCAACTGTGAGTGCTTTGGAAGAAGATGGGGAGGAAAATAGCAGGAGTTTAGAACAAGACTCTGCTCTGCATCACTGCCTCAAGATACTGTAAAGAGGACAAAGGGAAACTGGGATATAAATAGAGAATGACATTTTCCTTGCATTGTCCACAATGAATACATTTGTACATGAACAAAATCGTTGGAACGAGACAACATGCATGCCTGATGTTGAAGAAAAGCTTGTTTGTGCTTAGTACATTGGAGACATTGTTCGAAAATAGTTCATCCTTTTGTAAATATTGCCTCGGCATTGGTGCCAGGGTCACTGTTGCTTTGCGCTATCAGCTGAATAAGTATCAGTCATGCACATGCTGCTGGGAGAAATTTTAATACGGGCACCAGATTTAAAAGGAGAAAATTATCCTCTTAAGGACCGTCCCCTTCGTTTGTAGTTAATATTCCCTGCTTTACTCTTACTATTCTTTCTTCCAAACTTGCCCTATTTTCTTGCACCTAAAGGGTGTTTCATACGTGTCACCAGGAAATAAAACTTGTCCCATCCCTCAGGCACTGCTAGCGTCTGTATAGAAATCAGACATCCTTTTCTGACAAAACCGTGGTTGGAGGACATCTTGCCTTTGCTTTTCATCTCCAGTGATAGAGCTACAATAGAGCCAGGCTATGCTCCCTTCTCGTGCAAAGTGGTTAATGTCAGCTGAGCGGCGCCACGATGGAGATCTTGGCTGTTTGGTTTGTTTGCTTGTTTTCTGGAAAGACATTTATGTGGCAACATTTCTTTTTTTTCTTCAGAAGTCCTGAGAATTCAGCAAAACAAAGACTTGTACTACATGCAAAACCAATAATAAAGTATGTTCTGCACTCAGTGAAAGCCTCCTTGTATTCCCTGAGCAGAAGGCAAATATGAGGAACAAGATACTTTTGTATTCATCCCCATACCCAGATATTTTGGCAAGATAAACCACAACCTGAAACTACAAAAATTGCAGGAACCTCCAGCATTTCACAGTAGCAGGCAAATACAGATATCCCTCTGACACAGTCAAATAGATGAGGGAAAAGTGAACTCCTGACTTGACCAAAAAGTAGGCAATGGTAAAGCAGAAAATTATACCTTTAAAAAATGCTATGATGTCCAGGCAATTTTGAAAATGTTTCTCTGCCCTAAAAAAGGTATAGTTCAAGTTCAAACAAGATATAGTAGCAGCTATTGTACCAGGCTTACACAGTGTCTGAATATAATGATGCCACACATCCCAAAGATTACTATATTCTGCCACTCTCTACTTTTATCTCTATGGCCATGGCCCAGGGTTGAAAAGTGGCACTCTTCAAATCAGGCCTCCAAATTTTACAGTTGGAAGTGGGATTTTCATTAGGCTTCCTGACAGAACAGGGACATCAGAAGTGTTTTTCTTGCAGCTTGCAGTGCACCTGGTTTGAAGTTAAGCTGTGTTGTGCTCACCCACCTTCACCTGGGCAAAAGAGCCAGGAACTCAATGGTGGAACAGGGACAAGGGGACAAGAGTCCCGCTCTGCTGCTGGCTTGCTTGGTGACAGCGGACAACTTCTGAGAGAGCCCTCTGGGAAGGAAAAGGACAGTGGCATAGGCTGGAACCTAGGGAGGATGGAACTAGATACTCTTTAAGGTCCATTCTGACATGACCAGTTCTGTGATTTGTGATAGGTAGGCACCACGGGAATCCCAGTTTGCTAGGAGGCCCATACGCTTTAATTCAACAACTGCTTTTATGCATTTGACCTCTGCCTGCATTTATGGCACAGAAGATGTTCTCTTCCCTGCTCAGATAGACTTGCCCTTTTACCACCTTGACTGCAGTTGTGGGGTTTTTTTGCCATGTTATTTTTGCCATGTTATTGCCTTTTATTTTTTGCCATGTTACTACAATAATAAAGATTTCATATTCTGCTATCTCCTTAAAAAAAGGAAAAATAATCTACACATCAAGGACGAATGTCCAAAGATTGTAGTAATTAATTAATGGAAAATTTACTTCGTATCTGATAATAATGATTTGCTAGAAATTACTCCATCCTATGTCACTTCAGGCTTTCCTGATAATACCTTAATGCAGGCAACTTTTATGTCTTCTACTTCAGGTCTGCCATTCAGGAGCTATTTGGAGTTTGTGAAATATTAGATAATTGTCTGCATAACTGTTGCACTTTTTTTTTTCCCAGAAGTGATGCCACAGCCCCACCCAAACTAAAACATACCTATGCTTTCACAGACTTAAGAGTCAACTAACAATGATAAAAAGCATAGAATTGAAAAAGAAAAAAAGGCAGACCACTAAAATTCATTGTTCACTCTTTATTATCATTACTCAAACCTTTTGTGGATACTGCACAAGGTGACAAATGGATTTTTATTTTTTTCTAGATTTGTTCTGTAGTTTTTGTAACTAAAATGTTGAGAAGACTGCTCAAAGAAAACTACACTATCCAGACAGCTTTTTTTGAGCTCTGAACACCCTTAGCCCTCATCTCAGTGTAGTTCTCTGCACATTTTCCAGTACTGCAGTGAGGCCAGGATTCCATCCTTCCTCTTTCAATGGTTCAAAAATAATAAGAAAATCAAGGGGTCAAAGGAAAACAAAATTCTTTTGCAGTAAAATTAGGTTGACTAGAAATGTGAATTTAAAAAAGAACTAGAATCCATTTCTGTAGCATACACTGCAGTGGTTGGCTTTCATATATGGTAGAACTCAGCAGACCTGAGTAAAATTTGTAAATTTTATTCCAAAAAAATCAGAGTAAAAAAGTTCCTCCAGCCCAGCAGAAAATGAAGATCAAAAAGTTGCCATTGTAGAAGTTTGGACTGATTACTCAAAGAAATAGAGGACTGAGTAGTCAAGGAGACAGTATATACTAATCCTAAGCAGATACAGCTTCCCTCCCTACTTATGCTTTGCAGTGGGTATAGAGCCTCAATCTTGTCCCATATTTCTGGTAAGCAGAAAGGAAGTTTATCCATACCTTCATAGGACAGAATGATAATGAAAACATTGCAGTACAATGGAGTTATTTCAAAATACTGCTTCTTTCAGTATTGGGTGGTGCTTTGATAGACCATAAATATAAATATTCAAGAGAAAGCACTGTCAACAAAGGAATGTCCTATCTTACATCCTGGGCGTGATTTAAAGTAAGCAATTTTATTAATAGGATTCTAGCAGTAGCCTATACAAGGTTTTACCACTGTCTTTAGATGACACCCTGACATCATAAACACAGTGTATTATTAATTATAATTTGCTTTTACCATCCAGGTGTCCTGCTTCAGACCAGGGACCTTTCCTCTAGGCACTGTAAAAATTCATTAGAAATGTGTCTGGAGAGATTAAGATGAGTATCTGGCTACATCTTGGCCTTGATTGCAAAAGAGCACACTGTCAAGAATCTTAATAACATATTTACTGATGTTCAATTAGATGCTAGAGAACAAAATTGATTACCGTGCTTAAAAATATTTGCTGCCACCTTACAGCAGTGAAAAGTGTTAGCATCCATCATGTATATGGCAACCCCGTTGGCTGAACATCAGTTCCTGCAATCACCCTCCATGCCTTGCAGAAGAGCTGCTAAGTGGATCCAGCCCTGCTTCCTCCTTGCCTTCAGTTTTCCAAGTGTACCTGAGCAGCAGGGACAGGCAAGGCTGTGGAAGTCTGAGAATAAAAGCCCTCTGAAAATATGATGCCCTTCCTGTCCATCTTTGGTTAATGGATGCAACGCTTTTTAACTAGTTCTTGCAAGACAAGCTCCACATTGTCCTGAATGGCTTTCTGCATGTGATTGTGTTTCACATTTTCTGAGCACAAGTGATCTGAATCACAAATGATATCGCAAATGCGATTTAGTCAGGAAAGCAGATACTAGAAGTCCCACATACGCACTTGCTATAACCTACACATGCATTTGCTTCTTTCCCAGCTGCATCCCTCCAGTGTTCCACTGGGTCAGTTCAGGACCTTTGCAGACCCTCATATTTAACTTCTAAGCTCCTATCTGCAGTTGAAACTCCTACTAGTTCCTTAGTGTGCAGACATGGATTTAGTTACATTTTTACTTCCTTTATTAATGCACGGGACACAGTCATTCACTTCCACTGCAACAGCCTAGTCCTCTTGTGTATCAGCAGCAGCTCCCTGCTCTTGCCTTGTTAGCAGATTTCATGAGTACAGTGGATACATGGATTGTGTTGTTGGCACAGGGTCATTAATGAAAATATTAAATAATCTTGATCTCTGAGTTATTCCCAGTTGCCTCATCTAGGAAATCATGTCAACAGTCTGCTATCATGTCTCTTTTGCCCAGTGTTTTGTGTTCTTTAGTGTTACAACCCTGGCCACAATGCTCTCTCTTGCTTATCAATAATTTTCAGCATGGCACTGAACAACTCCTTTACTATTATTAATCCTTTACTATTATTAATACATTTGATCTACGAGGATAAAAGAGGGGAAGAGAGGTGCAAATGAGGGTCAAAGTATTCTACGTACTCACCTTCATCACCCCTTAGAGTGTTTCCAGCAGTGCCAAGGCTATCCTCTTACGCTGTTTCTTTTCCTTTTGGCTTTTCTGAAGATGGAGGAGAAACCTGTGAAGCAAACTGTTGTTTTCCTTTACTACAGTGGGATTTTTTTGTTTGTTTGTCTGATATTGGCTTTCTAGCTTTGATTTTGCAATGTTTTTTAAACACATGTGTTGCCATGCATTTATGCTAAAGGCAGCCAGGCCAAAGAAACATGTGCAAGACTTGGAAAGTGGTAGAAAAGTTTTACACAGCATCATAATAATAGGGTCTTTTAAAATTTTGTTCTGTCCCTTTCTTTTTAATTCCTAATGTTTTGCTTGCTTTTTGAACACTGCCAAGCAGGGAAGCATTTATTAGAACCTCACAACACTGCTCAGGAGGGGTAGCAGCCAGCTGAGACCCAGTCATTCCCCCCTGTGCATCACAGGGAAGTTATCTACACTGAGGTTCATCTGCTGTTTTGTTGCTCAGTTACTCAGCTTCACAGTGTCTTCCTTCATCCTGTCTTCATGTTCACAGTAATCTCTGCAACTTTTATTCATGCCCCTTCACAGAACATTTCTGAGCATGCTGTACAATGCTGGTGGAGGTGCTCTGCTATTTGACTCCCATCACGTTCATTTCTGACCTTTGCTTCCTCTCTTTTCATGTGATGTTTGCCCACGTGAGAAGCTGCCTCTTTGCCCATGCAGCTTAACTCCTTTGAGAGCCTCCGGTAAAAGATGTCGAATGTCTTTTTTTAATTCCTGCTTAGTGTGTCGACAAGATCTCCTCTCCTCATACAGAGGGACTCATGAGGCATCGCTTCCCTTTGCAAAAGCTGCCTGTTTCTTCCCCTATGTCACCCTTACTTACCCATTTGGTCACTAATTCTTTTCTTTAACTAGTTCACCTGGCTTGGTTATCAGGCCTAATAGTCTGTACTTAACTGTATCTTTCTCTAGAACCATTGCTAAAAATTAGTAACTTGAGCCAGTGAGTTTTCCCTCAAACTAATTTTTTTATACAGTTGATAGTGTTTTACACATATAATCTGCCACATGGATGTTCTTTTCTGATTTCTTCATTTGAGTATAACTTCAGGTTTTTAAAGGATGCTTTTTAACTTGTAGCAACCTTAACCAAGTTGTTTAGCTATGTTCACACTCTTTTTAAGACTTTATAGAACCTACAGGATATGATCAGCCCTTGGCTGGACTAGAAGGAAGTATGAAAATCTTGGAGCAGTAAATTGCAGGATTTAGATGCTCTTATGTCTGTGGTCTTCTCAGCTACATGCTAAAGACCCCAAGAAAATCCATATTTCATCACCATCTCTGTGAGTGAGCTTCTCCACGAATCCTTTAGATGGAAGTAATAAGTTTTGTTCTGACTTTCTTAATTTCTGGGTGGGAAAACTTGGTCCTTGAATCCAAGCAGAAGAGCAGTCACCTCAAATAGGATTTTAGAAGTAATCAGAGTTTAAAAGGATGAAAAATTGGGACTGTCCATCAAGAACTTGGATGGGAGGAAGCATAGGATAAAATTGGATAAATAGAAAGTAAGAAAAACACTACTAAGCTTCCCTAAGAATGGATTATGGCACACTAGTCAGACACTTACAAAAAAACCACCAAACCTTACTTTTCTACATCAAGGAAATGGGTTGACCTAATCTGAATTTCAGGAAAACATTTGTTAATATGCTACTTGAAAAAAAAATAAACTAAGGAAGACAGCAATTGCTAAATTAACTCTTAATATGAATAAGAGCTTGCAAAGTCGTTTTGAAGGGAAAGTCTCAAACTAGAGGAAAATTTATAGTGGACTTCCTTAAAGAATTATCTCAGACCGATCTTACTAATTATTTTCACTGACTACCTTAACCTAGGAATGATCATCTGAGGGCACAAAGTTGGGGTACTGCTTGAATGAAGTGGGGGTGGAATACTGTATAACAAAGGGCACAAAAGTCCTATTGGACTAATGCCAAAACCAACAACAAAAAAACCCCCAAACAGATTTTTTTTTTTTTGTTTAATTAAAGACAGTAATAATGTTACTTAAATTCCAGAAGCAGAGCAGAACAACTGAAATCCTGCAGATTCTTCTATTAAGAAAAAAATAAAATTTCCTACTTTTAGATGTTATTCAAGAGTATCATACAACTCTTGTACATCCCGTTCCCCCTTCAATTTCATGGGCATCACCTGTAAACTGAAAATTAACCTACAAGATCAATAGAAACAGTATAATGTGACACTAAGTCCTGTAAAAATGTTTCAGAATTTGGTTTCTTGCTCCCAGAGCTGTCAAACAAAGCCAGTGCAGAACACTGAGTCAGAAGTACTGTACAGCTTTCGGAAGGCTTACCTGAAATAATACCCTGTGATGTGCCTGAGGTAACCTAATACTAGAGAGAACTCTTTCGAGAGCTAAGCTAGCTCACCTGTAACGCCCTGCACCGTATCATGTGCGTGTGCCAGCTCACGTCCATAGTCGTGCAAGGCACAGAGGTTCCTGAACAAATCTGGACATGCCAGGAAATTCAGAGGAAGCCCGTGGCTTGGATGAAATTGATTACACTCTTTTATAAAAAAGTCTTTTGACACCCTTGTAATGTAAGACCATTATGATAGTGCAAAGGTCAAGGTCATAAACTAGGAATGAAGAACTTCTGCTATCAGCCTCCATAAAAAAAAGGGTAAGTTGGGTGTTTCAATCAGTCCTCAAGGCTTTTGAGATATTGACAGCAGGTAGCTCTAATACAAAAATAAAAAAATAAAAAAAAAAATATTAGTTGTTGTGTATCTAGCAGGAATAGAAAGGTATTAATGCCACCATGAAAGACCCTAGCAACACCTCATCTGGAGCACTGTGCCTGCTTCTAATCCTGCAGATTAAAAGAGATTTATTGGAAATGAAGGTGCAAAGAAATGCTAGAAGAACAGTCAGGGAAAAACACTGTTCTCTATGACAGGTATGGCACAGCTGGGTTGGCTGAACTGAGACTGAGCAGGTTTTGGCAGTAACCTATGAAAGCTCAAGGGGAGACAGACTGGAATGGACTTTATGCCAGGAGAGAGAAATACTCTTTAAACTGAAGTCAAAGACCTTGTAGAATGTGAGAGTTTCAGCTGATCATGATACACATTATCTGAAATCTTTAACCATGCAGAGGAACATAAAATCAGCTGATGATAGGGGTAGCTTCAAGATGGAGTCTGGTGTCTCTGCATATTAAGTTGAAGAGTATAACATGGATGCCCGTGACAGAGAGGATCAGGCCCAACAGCAGAGGAGGTCTTCTCCAGCCCTGCCCAAGTCAAGGACAGAGTAGACTATGAAAGCTCTGATTTTCAAAACATGTATCAGATTTACACATTTGTCACCAGCCAGTTTATCACCACCCGCTATCTTATATTCAATAGTGTTACACAAGAGTGTAAATTAACGTGGAGTGCAATCCTCCTAATTATTACAGTTGGGGAACAAATGGGGCCATGCATATGCAAGTATCTAATTAGTCACGTCGTGATTGCCTGTCTGTGGAAATACCCTGTTTGGCTATGAAATCATACAGCCTGCTTTGGCTTATACAATGATGTGTGTTGCTGTGACTCTTGCATAAGGAGAATTAGTCCTTCTGTTTTAATAATACTGCACCATTCTGCTCAATTCTGAGCCCTTAATCTTGCATCACAGTGAAACACTGTAGTAGCAACACATAATTGTCTATTTTTCAAATTTTCCATTTTGTAAAATGCTAGTTCCTGACTTCTGCTGAATGTGTAGAGTGGCCTACCTTGACACAATATTAGATTAATATTAACTGAAAAGAGTCCCAGTGTAGCTGTAATAGAAAAAAGAATATGACTTCACCTACCCCTGAATTCCAGGTTTCGGTGTTCTTTTCTTAGAAGAATGTTATCGTCTCACTATGACACGTGTAGTTTCACAAGTTCTGTTTGTTTTAGACTGAGATGACTTGGCCTTATTAGCTCCTTCTATCCCCTTCGGTTTTGGTGGGGCCCCAAGCGCCTCCTTAGCAGTATTGCAAAAGGAAATCCCCATAAACCACATAAATCCCTCAAAAAGCTGAGGGTAAAACCGAGCTGCTCCGGCAGGCAGCGTCCTCCCCTTGCACCGTGCTGCCACGGGTGTCAATGGCAGCTCTGCAAAGAGACAGAGAACAGCACAGCAGCCTGCAGGTTTTGCTTGCTCTCCATGGCTGAAAGGACACCTGCAACCAGAGTACCTTTCCTATATTTGCTCAATGTTTAAGGGAGCTTATTGCTGGGATTTTCAGGGCACCATCATCACTGTGGCCGTTCTGCAATTTACATATAATGGGCGACGAAACAGAAACGTAGTTTGGAGGACCAGGCATGATACAGGGTCATGTTCTCTCAGGCTGGCAAGATACTAGTCTTCCTGTTCAATTTGTAGGGCTACTGGCTCATTTCTGATTTATCACTACTTAATTTAGATGAGCGTCAGCAATGGACAGTAAAAAAATATGGTTTGTGGTTTTAAATACCTGGACCTTTTTTCCAGAATGTGATAATTCCTTATCTTATTGCTTATTTATAGCAATTCAGATTCCTCCCAATTACTAATTAATTTTACAGTTATTTTTACCTCCTTCCCCCTCTCCCAACATACAGAAATGTATATGCTTATGTACATGCACATACGCATACCTCATCAAAATTATTTCAGCATAAGTATGAATACCACGAACCAAAAGTTTGGCATCCCTGCTACTGTGAAAGATGACTGCCACCTATGGGTAAGAGCTCATGTTAACATATTTAGATAAAATTTTAATATTATTCCTTTTAGTTAATTCAATTTGTAATTATCTAGCAGGACAGAGTTTTGATTCATTTGATATATATTTTGTCAATAACAATCACTACTCATCCTCTGAAAGTTGGGTATTGAACCAACTCCCTTAGGAAAGAACATCAGCTTTACAACGAATAAAAAAATGGGGTACGACGTTCTTATTTTTGTTATTCTGAATAAAGACAACATAGAAGTACTCTAATTCCCCATGCAAAGAAAAAAGACTCATTGCTACACAGCTAGGTACAGCATCTTAGATAATGCTGTATTTATTTACTATAATTTTAAAGTTTAGCCAGCTCAAGGTTTTAATACTTTGCCTGCTGCTTTCTTTTACTAAATACATACAAATAGCTTAGCTATGCAGTCTCATGAAAATGTGTATATAATCAGTATGTCATAGTAAGTTTCTTCTCAAAATTTTTCATTTTTCTTAGTAAAATGAAAGCTAAGTGGGGGAAGGGAGGCAGTAGAAAAATGAATGTCTTGATTATGTAAGCCTCGATTTTTCTGATAATCAGTCTACGCAGCATTTACCTAGAAAACTCAAAAGTAAGTAAAGACTGGAAAGCCTAACTTTTTGTATCAAAAATATGTTTTTTCCGATTCAGCTTTAAGGTACTTACAAGCAAACAGTCCAACAATTCTGTATATCTGACTACCAAAGAGAAAAAACGCTCGATTTCGGCTGCTATACTATAGTAAGCTGCATTAAAATGGACATCGGTATCTCTTTCTCAGAAATACCACACGTAAAAATAGCTGGAAGTCTAGCAAATTAATGCATGTATTTAGGTTTGGGAAAAAATCATTTTGCTCCAGTAAACAGAAGCTAATTGTAGCCATTATATTTCCCCCTTTCGGTGTCGGGACACGGTATTTCGGAACAAAGAGCGATGGAACTTAACAAAAGAGAAAACTGTATTAAAAAAATAGCAATTAATACTAACTAAGAATAAGTCCAATACTAATTTTTTTAAAAATCTCCCTTTTAAAGTAATCTTAGTCCCAGGTCATCTCATTTTTATTCTACTTTACTAAATATGGTAATTGGCCCATCTAAAAAACCTCTAATCAGTATTACACCAGTGCTTACCTCATACATTTTCACTAAATTTTTATTACTAAAACTATGTTACGAACTTACAAAATACTGCAAAAGCGGTCAGTAAATGTCGCTCAAATATCTGAGGGTCACACATCAACATTTCATGCTTGCTTTCTGACAGCCTCAGAACCCTTTATAACCTACATAATTCAGACGCTTGTGGTAAAATCCTTGTGCTTCATAGGCAAAACCATCTTGTAGGTAAAGTAACTGCTCCACAGAAATGTATTAGTGATGTATTTTCCTGACATATTTCAAACACTAAAAAAAAAAGCATTCTCCAATTTACTTCCTTGCGTCCTCTTTGGCTACTGAATCAAACTCTCAACTGTCCAGTAACGTTTCCCTGTATTTTCAAACCACAGTTTAAACTTAAACCACTTAGTCTCCTTAGATGGGAACTTCATATCAGACAAAAATTACTCCTTATCGTGTTTGATGAATCCAGCTTGAAATAAAATACCAGCACTGCATGAATATCGGCGACAAATTACTTGTTTCTGTAATTTTATCTCTTATTTTATCTGGAGAACAATTTCGTAGGTATACTGTGTTACAGTGTAGACCTCCTCCCACCAACCCACTGCTTGCAAAAGGAATTAAAAAAAAATATCTTCCATGTGTCATAAAATCCGAACAGAATATAGTTGAACCTTTCAAAATTATTACAAGTAAGAAAATGGAAATAAACAAATAAGCTAGTACCTCAAATTTACGAGAGCAACAAAAAGATTAAAAAAATTTAGAAATGCAATAGAGGATTGTTAAACTAATAAATCTATCAATGGAATATGAAACCAACCCTCTTTTCTAGGTGACACATCACTGAGTTACTACTTGTATACTTCTACTGGTATAATGAAGAGCAAAATTTTTCTATATATAGTCAGGATGACAAATTTTGAGATATTTCCATGTCAATACCTTTAAAACCGAGGCCTTCTTAAAGGACGGGGCACTCAAAAAGATCTACATGACACTGGAAAATCCAGACAGGTTTCTCCTGATTTTTTGCCACCAATGATCTCTGTGTTTCACAGAGGAAAAAAAAAATCTCACAAGTCAGGCAGTGTTCCTAATTCTCTGAAGAGCTTGCTGTTAATTTTACGGCTTTACAAAAAGACAAGTAAAATTCTGTTTCCTAAGTAAAGAAATACAGAAGGTTGCATCATGGCTGTACAAAAAGGATTCTTTCTGTTCTATATAGATGTCTCATCAATTTCACTTGAATGCTGCTTATAACAGAGATTTTACTTTAAATAATAGTACTTAATGCCTATATGGATTTTTTTTTGTTACCTAATAGCTTTGCTAGATTGGTCATGGATTTTTTACTGTGCTATGTATTCTTTCAGTACTTAGTTATATGCCTGCATTTTCCAACAGACGTTCAAAATATTACTGCATTCTGGTCTATTCCACTGTGTTTTGACACTGAAGTGCATTCAGATACTCATAATATAAAATGCTTATAGACGCACCTAAACAAAAAAACAGACTACCGTGTGATATACTGGAATGAGTGGGACTTTCTTCTGATGGGGGAAAATCTGCTTGTTCATAATAATTTAATTTAAAGCTGGGAGAAGGAGCAACGCACCTGGAATCAACTCACTGTAAATTCCAGAAATGCAAGGAGCTTCACAAAAAGTCTGCAGTTACCTTGTTTTTTAAGTAACCATACAGAGCTGACAGCTATTAGCAGTAGCAAGGACTTGCATAACGAGGACTGGAAGGAAAGCTTAGTACTATCCATGCCGGAGTGATTTTAAGAGAATGAAGGCACGTATTTCTTTATGATGCATTATGTAACAACACAGAGGGCACTCTGAGGCATTAAAAAAAATACGGAACCCACATTTGATCTTATACTTGTTATTTATCACACAAATATTTAATAGTGCTTATAGCGTAAGGCTTATGAAGCACCTAACATAGGAATGTTATCTGATACAAATTAGTTTGAAATGTTTTAGATGACATATTTTATGTTCTGTACATCTTTAGGAAAATATAATAGGTCCTATAATTCATTTGCTTCAAACTTCTGCAATACATGCAATCTCAGATAAAATAAAATTGTCAAAATCAGTGATAGCTGGACCTTCTGGTTCACATTAGTGCGAAGAGAAAACTGCTGTTGAGCTGACACATTGATAGATTATGAGTTCTGCCGAAGAATAGCTAAAAATGGTGATTCAATCTTGTTGCTACTATATAAGAAGAATAACAGAAGTGGAGATGGTACTCATGAGATCATGTCTTTTATCAAAACCCTAAAGGGTTCTGGTGCATCGAACACATTCTCTTCCTGAGAGCTTCTGGCTCTAAAAAATAACTGTGTAAGAAACTGAAACTAAATGGGCCTATTAAAAAAAACGGTTCATTGGTGTCCTAAATTTATTTAAACATTAATATAAAGAGCAGATTGTTAAAAGACTATCTTTGGGAGGGAGGTGGGGGGTGTCCTCTCTCTCTCTTTTTTTTTTTTTTTCCTACAGTAGAGATGCTGGTCTTGTAATGACAAAATGGAGAGCTAGGAGGATTATGAAACACAAGTAACATGAAGGGCAAATCTGACTGAAAAAGAGGGAGAATACTATTCTAATTATTTAAAACTTAGCTGGGTTAGTGCCTTCACTAACTTAAATCAATACAGATCCCCTGAAATCAATGAGGTGACACAGATGCATCCAAGACATATCTAGCATTTAAGATAATGCGGATCATCATCTCCTGTTAGGACAGTAAACATAAGCACATGTATATAATCACTTTTCTAAACATCTCCCTAATCTTTAGATATGCAAAACAGAACTTTTAAAAGAAGCACCTTAAGTACTTCTGCTATTCTACCCCTGGTCCTCCCTTAGTTAATCTGAAACTTGCATGGTCATTTACGTTGAAGCAAAGTTAAGTTTAAACGCTGACTTCTGTCCTCAGTGCTTCATACTTCCCTGTGCTGCTGCATATCACCATGGAAGGCTCAAGATGGAGGGAATAGGGCCTTGGTGGCTTGTGCCTTCCTCCCCCAAACATCACCAAATGCTCCCGGCGCTTACTTCGAATACATCCATGGAGTTCTGCAACAACAGAAGGGAAAACAAGGCTTCACAGTCCTCATCCTTCACTGAGAGGAATAACAGGTAAGGAGAAGGAGGAAACAGAAACACGGGGGAGAACGGGAGGAACGATTTCCTATTAGAGGCTCACCTTTCCTCAAGGAAAAGAAGCCTTGACATAAACTTCATGACATCACAAAGATGCAGGCAGGTAGGCACCTCAGATTTCTGATAACTCAGTGGGTTTGTTTCAGGGAAAGATTAAACATTCTTTTAATTTTTATTTTTACTTTTACCAAGGTCTCTCCAGTAAGTATTTGCAGCTTCTCCTGCAATAATTAATGTTTCATGCTGTACAAGAATTTCTTATCTTATTAAAAAAAAAGCTCTCCAACAAAACTGTGACTTAAGCTGTGTTCTTAATTTGAGGAGGAATGGGGAAGATAAGTAGCAAGGCATAAAGTTCATCACCCTGCTCTAAAATGTAGGGAGAAGCAGAAACTGATATTAAATAAAAAAAATGTCTCAAGCCTGTTCTGTGTTTTGCCTACAATTTTTGCACATGCATTTGCCTTTTGAATATGCAGGCCGACATCTTTAGGATATTCAGGCAACGTATTAACACGCTGTGGATACGGGAAAGAAACAAGTCAGAAATATTTGGAGGGTGTGAAGCAATAAACAGTAACCAAGCAGAAATGTTTTATGCAACACTATTATGGCTTGACAGCAAAGTAGATTTATGCATTCTCCTTTCAAGCTTGTAAGCTTGGTAACAAGTGAAATGGGTTAAATTTTCTGAGTTTGGAATGCAATTGATTTATGCTTGTTCCACGATGCTACGCAGCTCTTAAATGTACGAGCTCTTGCGGCTGAAAGTCTGCTTTTAGGACAGGCCCTGCAGTGACAGGCTGCGGCATGGCAGGGAGAGACCCAGGTAATTCTGGCGGGGCAGCGGCTGGCGATGCAGGACCCAGCAGGTATCCAGCCATCCAGCCAGCCCGCCTTACGTAAGGACTTCATTTTCGTTAGGCTACATCTCGCCGCGCGAGGCACAGGAGAAGAGGCTATTCCATCTCCCGGTGCAGCCCAGTCCCCTGTGCCAGGCCCAACATTCGCATCCTCGCATTTTTTAATTTATTTTTTTTTTCTCCTTTCCGAACAGCACATCTACACAGTGGCGTTTACCTATTCGCTCGCGCCGCGGCTGCCATGCAACCTACGTGGGCGCCCGGTTGGCACAGCCCACGTTCACCGGAGCGATGCCGAAGAGGAAACCCCCGGTCCCTCTCCGGGCGATAGAGGCGCGCTCCGGCCGGCTCCGGGCGGGCAGCTCTCCCTCCTCAGCGGCGGCGGCGGCGGCGGGAATGCTCCGCTCTGCGGCCAGCGGCGGGCAGCGTCCATTGCAGCTCGGCGGGTCCGAGTCCGGAGTCCGAGGGCTCCGGCAGCCAGCGGGGGCACCCGGCCCCCACTCCCCTAAACACCGCTGGCCAGGTGCGTTTATTTCTCATCCCGTCCGCTTCCCACAAATCCACCGTCTGCGGCCGCTGAGCCCCGGCAGCAGCCCGGCCAGCCCACGAGGCACCACCGATCGCGCTCCCCTCTCTCTCTCTCTCTCTTTTCCAGCTCTTCCCGAGGAGGAAGGAGCACGGCGGGGCCGCTCGTCCCGTATTTCACCGCCCCGGAGACGCCGCCACCGGAGCGATTAAAACAAAGCGGAGAACCGCCACTTTCCACACTCTTCGCGCACCGAGTAACGCGGCTGGCTACGGGAGCTCGCCTAGCAGGGACGAAAAACAAAGGGGGGGTAAAGGAGGAGAGCCCACCCTCCACCCCAGCAGCCCCCCGGCTGATGCCCGCGCCCGGCGCACCCCAGCGCTGCCCGGCGCACCTGACAGCCCGCCGCGCCGCGCTGTATTTCCCTCCCTTAGCGACAGGGGAGGGGCGCGCCGGCCGCGGCGCCGCCATTGGCGGAGGGGAGCGGCGCGGCGCCGCCATTGGCTGCGGCGGCGGCCAATGGTGCGCGCTGTATCCGGGAAGCAGGAGGCTGCGGAGCTATTTAAATCCTGCCCGGTGATGTCAGCGCGGGCTCGCGGGGGGGGGCTCGGGCGGCGGGGCGGGCGCGCCTGTCAGCCCGCGTTAGGCACAGCGCAGGGCCCTGAGCGGGAGTGGCCCGGCACCTGCCGAGCCGTCCCCGCCTTACGGGACCCCGCAGCGCCCTCCTCCCCTTCCCCGCGAACTTGTCCCGGTGGCGGTCCTGGAAGATGCGGGTTAATTTCGGGGTGTTGGCGAGGGGCGCGCTGGGAGCGCCTGCCAGTTGTGCGAGCGGAGCGCTGAGCCTGCTCTCGCAGAGAAGGCGAAAGGGCAGCTCTCTGCGTTAAAAATACTTCTGCGGCTGTTCAGGGGGAGAGATACCTTCACTGTTCTTTATTTGCACCCAGAGCCTTCCCATAGGCTCGGTGACGTTGCCCCTCAATTCAGGGAGGGCATTGAGTTGCTGGAACGAGTCCAGAGAAGGGCAATGGAGCTGGTGAAGAGTCTGGAACGCCGGTCTTATGAGGAACAGCTAAGGGAGCTGGGGATGTTCAGCCTGGAGAAGAGAAGGCTCACGGGTGACCTTATCAGTCTCTACAACACCCTGAAAGGAGGTTGTAGCCAGGCGGGGGTCGGTCTCTTCTCCCGGGAAACTAGTGACAGGACAAGAGGACAGTCTTAAACTGTAGCAGGGGAGGTTCAGGTTGGACAACAGGAGGAACTTCTTCACATAAAGGGTGATTAGACATTGGAATGGACTACCCAGGGAGGTGGTGAAGTCACCGTCCCTGGTGGAAAGGCTGAACGTGGCACTTAGTGCCACGATCTAGTTGCCAGGGTGGTGTTAGGTCATAGGTTGGACTCAAGGACCTCAGAGGTCTTTTCCAACCTAATTGCTTCTGTGAATTTCATACTTTGAAGGCACACGACTTGCCTCTTGGTGTCCCAGGGTTGCCTGAGGTTGCCTCAGGGTTTGATCCTGAAGGACTGCCACAGGTGGGAAATCCCAAAGTGGTTTAAAGGTGCATGTTTGGGCCATGAAGCAGACCAACAGTAGCTATAGCCACCTGGCTGATTTTCCTCTTCCATTTCTGATTCTAGTCATGGCAGGTCCTGTTCTGTGGGTCTCAGGGAAGGCTTTTAGATACTAAAACCTGATAGATGCTACTCATCACAAATGTTCTGTTTTCTATTGTCTTCCCAGCACAGCAATCACAGATGGAGCTGAAATGGTGCTAGGTTACAACAGAAGAAGAAGCAGCCAAGATCAAAATGCTCTGGTTTGTCTTGGCAGAAAACGTAAATTGTGCTGCGCTTCAATATGCTGTAGACCTGTCTGGAGCTCATCTGGTAGCCTAATAATGGCTGAAAAGTGGGATTAAACTTGAGTTGTTTGACCTGAGGCATGTAATCATCCTGCCTGCAGTCTAACACCCAGTACCCTGATGGTTGCACAGTTCTTTCCCTATCATGTGACCCAAACAGATCCATCACGTGACCAAAATGCAAGCATCTTCCTTTACACAAAGGTATGTCACTCCTGATGGGAAGACCCATAAACATCAGGTAAGAGACTGCAAGATTTTCTCAGTTCTCTGCAGATGGATGTGTGCCGTGACCATAGATTTTTTTTGGCCTATATAACTACATGCATTTTGGTTGTCTTAAGATGTGTGTTCAGCTCTGTGGCTGCAGAAGGGCATATGGTGTGGTGACATGTGGAAGTGATTCCCTAAAAGCAATTCTGTGATGTGGTAAGCTGAATACACAGGAGGTCACTGAGCTGAACATTGTTGGTGCCAGAGAAGATTTATGATGAGGAAATTGGGACAGGAAGCCAGGAGCAAAAAGGCTTCTGACATCTAGAGGACTGAAGATCTCAACAGCTTCCCAAACAGGAAAGTGGGAGCACACAGCCTATGTTGTTTCATGATGAAGCTTCATGAATTCAGATTCCTGGTTGGTATGAGAAGCCAGGTTTGACCCAGGACTTGACAATTAAAGCTGGAGGAGGGAGGGAGGTGGTACCCCCAAAGAAGGATGAAAAGCCCTTACTGTTAAATGTGAAGAAGCTGTCATTGAAACCATGTTTCTTTGCTGTGGCAGGATATGGCAACAGAGGTAGGGGAAAGCAGGGGAAGGCTCATCATGTAGGTGGCTCCTGTGAGGGTAAGGGATGGCATGTTATAACTTGGGGTCCTCAAGATGAATCTGATTTTCTTTTAAGGATGTTCTTCCACTGAGAGTCAGATGGAAGAACCCCTCTCAGGAACTGACTTCATGTGCCTTTTCAGTCCCCTTTGCATTTCCTTGTTTTCCCTGTTTGGGAAGCTGCTTGGAATAAAGATTAACTCACTACACTCAGTGTGTTGTTTATGTATTGTATTTGTCTGTCAGTGCCATAATCCAGATTTTCTGTGAGTTACCAGCAAGGCTCAGGAATAATATTTTTTGTTGTTTTAATTGAACTTTTTCCCCATGGTCCCTGGCTCCGTTACTTCCAGGGTGTGATGCTGTAAAATGTTGATGCTAAAAAAATAACTCAGGAGCAGTTAATTGAGGGTGAGATAAGGAAAGGGTTTAATTGTGCCAAGGCAATAGATGTTACAAGGCACATGCAGGCTGTGCCTGAGATGTTATATTTTATAATACTGTCTGTCCAATCCCAAGTGTGTCCACCTCGTAGCCTTTGCTCTGGTCCACCTCGGGTCCACCCCCTGAGAATTGGGTCTGGGGGCCTTTGGGACCACCTACTTCATCATTCTCATCATCCTCAGAGCACAAAGGGTACATAGTCACCTAGTTCTTGACCCTGTTCTGTTGTTCAGGCCTAGATGTGAGTGTTCTCTAAACAGTATAGGCCTTGCCTTGACAAGAGACTAAACATTTCTACTGGATTCGGGGGTAGGATTGGTATAGGGTGCATGGGATGGGGTAAGAGGGTTAAGGAATGTGCAAACTACTTGTACTACAGGGTAAAGGAATGAGGGCTGCTGCTTTTAAAATCTACTTCCGCTACTTATAAAACTTATAAAGCTTACAAAATTTAGAAAAATAAAAAACTAATAGGGGCTTAAGGCATCAGTGACTTGGGGAAGTTTTGCCTTCTCTAAAATATCAGATCAGCATTAGTGAGAGATGAAAAGCTGGGCAGAGGTATTCATGGTGGTCCTGCTCCTAACTCATGTATCTTGCTCAAATGTTTGGAACTAATGTTTTGGAACTAAATGTATTTGACTTCAGAAGAATTTTTTCCCTAATGTGGGCTGTTGCATTTGGAGGGAAAAAAGGGAAGGGGGAGTCATTCACCCCACTTGACAAGATGGAACATGGTTCACTTTGTAAAATGAATTTGAGTGTTTTGGGGGCAGGAACTGCTGGGCTGGATGAAGCCCTTGCCTTGGAGCAGTATAAACTTTGTTTGTTGGAAGGGGAGGGGGTGTTCATATATGTAAGTGGAAGATGAATGGATCTTTTTGGACTTCACAGTTATGGCATAAACTCACCGGAACAGAAAGGAATGTGAAGAGTTCATATGGTCCATCCCACAATTTCATTACCATAAAGCAGGATCCAATCTCCCCATCTCTTTCCTGGTAAATATCCAAATTATACAAATAAGGGATGAAATTTTATAACCTCCCCAGGCATCCCTTTGAGTGCTCTGCTTTCCTTAGGTTAGGACAGTCTTCTACTGCCTCCAATTAGAAACTCCTTATGTGCAGTTTAACTCCATTACTTCTTGCCCTACCCATTTAGAGAACAGGTTGTTCCCTTCCTTTTCACCACAGAATTTATGCTTTTGAAGACTATCGACATGTGTACCTCCAGTATTCTTTTATTTATTTATTTATTTATTTTATTTAAGGTTAACCAAACTTGTAATCTGTTTTTTCTAATTCTCTTCATATGACCCTGGGAGACAGCAATTCCTGACCCCTCCTCACTTTGTCCTACACATCTGTTTAAGAAAGGTCTGGAGAAACAAGGCTAGTAGTTATGCCAACATTTCCTCAAAGTCTTATTTTTTTTCTTGTAAACAACTGTGCTGAAAGAACAAAATTAATGGCAGGTGAGATTTGCAGCCCTGGGAAAGGAGCATACACTGCAGAGGAAGATGGATGGATGGTGCTGAAGTGGTGACGTCAGCTCTGAAGAGAAAGATAGGGTCAGCTGGGTGCAGCTCCATTGAAACAGGAAAAAAAAGAACAAACCCCAAATATTAGGATGTTTAAGGAAAGAGGATGTTGGATGATGAGCAATAAAATATTACTGTAAATGATACTCACTGGAAATCATGGTGTGTTGCAGCAGCTCAGCTTCAGAGTTTTACAGGGTCTACAAAGATTGCAGTTAAAGCTGGATAAACTGAGGTGCAGAAAAACTAGGAGGCATGTGAATAACTGAAGCTCAGACAAGGCAGAACTCCTGGAAATCTCCTCCTAGTCTCAACTCTGCTTTATCCTGGCCAATCTTTAAAAATCATTCCTGCTTCATACTAGTGATATGTAATACTGTCATTTTGCAGAAGGGTCTATAACACTGTGTAGAATTCAGCTGAATTCAGGCTACAAGAGGGGGTTACTGTAGTCCTCTGATTTAAAATATCACTGATAAAAATATTCTTTTAAATGTTCTGGTCAGGACTAGTGAAGCTTTTCAATTTTTAAATGTGTTTTATGTGGAAAATCCCTCTGTTAAATAATTAGCAAATGCTTTGAGCATTACTGCATATTTTATATTTCATCTTCCTGGAAGAAATGGACGGTTCTGTTGCTATAGATTAACTGCAATTTATTTTGTAATACTCTGACTGCTGGAAGAGAGAGACTTATTAGTTTACTTCTTTTACTTCTGATTATTCAAGGAATGGGGTTGGACAGAAGGGTTTAACCATAACTTTTCTTCTATTCCCAGTCCCAGCAGACATTTGAGTTCACAAAGAAAGAAATCTGTACAAGCTGAAAATGTGAAAACCAGAGACTGAGGGGTTCAACAGTATGAAGGATTGCAGGGCTGGATCTTATTTTCTTGGCAGGCACTGGCTACTATGGCTTATTTTACCTTTGACATAGCCTTATTCCACATTTCAGTGTATTTTTTTCTTAGGCAGAAAAAAAAATCATTGCTGCAGCTGCTGTTGTGTGAATTAGTCTTAGATACCAATGGACACTAATTGTGTTTAAAATTAAGAATTTGGCACAAGAAGCTGTTCAGATTTAACCTTTTCTTCATAGAAATGGAGTTACAAATGATTTTTTTCATGGAATGAAGGATAAGATCACCTTTTAATTCGTTTCGATGATCAGATCTGTGTTTTTTATGCTCTTTGAACAGTTGTGTCAGAAGTGTGGCCTTGGCTCTACTGTGAGTATTTTTGTACATCTCAGGGTTTTTAGGCTATACCAGTAGGCCTCAGAATGCAACGCAGCATGGTAGCTGCCACATCTGTTTTCCTAGAAAGTTGTTTTGTCCTGTTTTCAAGACAAACTTTGAATTCTGAGATGGTTTTGTATCCTTAGCACTTCAATTGGCAGCGCAATTCGTGAAGGAAAAAAATGCTTCAGTATTCATGTGTTGGACCTAATAGCCCTCCTGGCAGTCAGTGGGAGGCTTTAGTATGCCAAAAGATGCAGTCTTAGGCTGCAGCAGTCTTTCAGCCTGAAGAAATTTCCCTACATTACAGAATACAGGCAAATGTTGATTAACCGAATGTGCCTACAACACATAAAAGTTCTCAAAGAGCATAAGCTAACTTCTGAGTTTTCTCCTCTGGTGTAGCACCAGTAGTTCAGATGTCTAAGCAGTCATCTTCTTAATTTCGCAGCCCTGCTTAGGTGGCCAACCCAGTTTGTTTTCTAAGCTGTTTTATACAGAAAGCCATTACCTGCACATACTGTCTTTGAATGCACTGGGGCTCAGGTGTATATTTTGCCCACATCAGTTTCTTCCACAGTGTTGCCTGGTTAGCACTTGCAACAAGCATCCTGTGCAGCCTTTAGAAAAGTCTCTTCCAGCTTGCCGGAGACAAACATGGAGGATGCTGATGACCATCAGGGAGTATAAAGAGGATGGTTGCAGTGGTACTTGGTGGTCTGTTAAGGGCCAGATCCCTAGTCAGGCCAACAAGGATTGCAGGGAAAAAATGAAAGGCTTGAATAAAACTAATTCTCCATTCTGGCAATCCAACTGGGGAAATACGTGTTTCCTTGCAGCCCTGCTGTGGCTTGCAAAAACTCTTCCATCTCCAAAACAGTGCCGAGACTGATGCCAATGAAAATAACACGCAGAAACATTTTTTAACATTTGTGCCACTCATTTGCAATTCAAATATGGGGAACTCGTGTGTGCTGAAATGAAGGGTGCAGAATAGAACAGACCAATCTGTTTATGAAGACTGGAGGGTTTATTTACCATCACTGAGATTTAGAGGGTTTTTTTTTCATGTTATTTATTGGTATTTCTAAAATGCTGTTGAACTGTAGCTTTCCTGTTGTGATGAAGCTGAATGACTAGCATCTTGATACTT